TGCTTGCTCTTCAGTTTCTTAGGGAGAGACAAGAACTTTTTCAGCCAGTCACAGTGCCTCTCACTAAACACAAGACTTGGAGGGTGCTGGCAGGTACAGTTTTGTTGAAACAGTGTAGGTCCTGAGGCCTCTGGATGCCTCAGGAGCACTAGTTCAGGCAGAGCCCCCCTTCCCTGGGCTGGGCATGCTGCCATCTCATGAGCTTCTGCCCAGTTTGTAGGCACCTTAATGGTCATTTGGGGGCCTAATATAGTGCCTTGTTCTGTGACCTGAACAGTGTCTTGCCCGTGTCTCCTTGATTATAGCCAGTTTTCCAGAAAAATGCAGAAAACGCTTGACTTGTTGAACAAATATTTTGCGGTAAAAATTGTTACTGCATCGATTCAAACTAGTGTTTCTATGTTGGGCATTGTAATGAAAGTGAAATGTTTAAATTCACTTAACCTAGTCACACTGTTTTCATCTTCTGTTGTCACTGTTTCCATGGCAACTTGCTTTCAGGTTTTTTTCCTTCAGGCAATATCATTTTGTGTGTGTTTGTATAAAAATATATATTAAAATAAGTTAGGCGAGCTTTCCTTTATAGTACTTCATACATTTCAGTAGTGAATTTCTGGCTTTTAACTTAGAAGTCAAGAAAGAACTGGTCATTTCCTACTACTTCTGAATAAAATATTTCATGTTTCTGTCAAGTAGAGTTAATTAGCTGAATATTTTGTTGAAGCCAATGTACTGAGTAGGAAAGGTGGTGCCTTTAAATGAGACAGTGCAGGTAGAATACAACATGGAGCAGAGTAGCATCGAGTTTAAAGCAAGAATAATACCAAATGCTGATGAATCTGTCTGTCTTATTTCTATTCTTGGAAAGGTGGGTGGGAAGAGAAAGAAGGGTGTGTAAATGAGGTCTTACTACACATGGAACATGTGTAACATCAATGTGTCAGCTAAGCCAAAGCGAACACCTTTTTTGTTTTTTTTAGGCTGAGGCATGAAACCTTTTAACATGTTTTGAGTTATTTGGATATTATTCAGGGTTTTTTTTTTTTGTTGTTTTACCATTTAGCAATCAAATTCTTGAATTTTTGAAGAATGAGGGTAGAAACTTACTGCAAGGGAAATTTTATTTCAGACGGTACAAAATTGAAGTGTTAGAGAATACATAATTTGTGAAAGTCTAGGTAGGTATAATGGTGGAACGTATTAGTTGTAGATCAACATGTAGTTTGAGTCTCTTTAGTCTCAGAGCCAGGTTTGGATACGTTGACTGCTCATGCATGGAGGGAGCTTTTGATATGTGCTTCAGTCTGCAGATGTTCAGCATTTCTTTCTGCCCTTTATACTCTTCTGGAATAGGAGTTTAACACTGAGATTTCTGGGAATGAAAACTTTGTGAAATATAGAAGGCAACATCAATTGCTCAGTCACAGATTGGATCATTCTTGAGTGCTAAGGTAAACATGATGCATAATGTTAATCTGGCAGACAGCTCTAATTGCTACACCAGGGCATTACAGAGGGCAGTGGGAGTGCTGCACTGGAGCTGGGGTGTGAAAAGCGTTTACTAAGGGATGGTGACTGTATAAGTAATACTGCAAAAGGTCAGTATGAAAACAAAGGAGGAGGAATGCTGTTACAACACGTGATTAGAAAAAGACTTTTTTTCCTTGTTTGCCTTCTGTTCCTTATTATGCTCTCAAATTACAGTTTTAATTTCCAGATGTGAGCTAGAAAAACAAGGAAATGCAGAGCAGGCATGTGTTGTAGTGTATTTCCCTTACTTAAGGGAGCTGGGGTAGTGAGGCAGACCTGAGGAAGAACAGCATACTGCCCTGGCCTCTATCTTGCAGAGCTGCTTGCATCTCTTCTGAATAATAAGTAAACTAATATGTAACACTTTCCAAAAAGTTCTGCTACAGTCTTTGAATTATATCAGTATGACATTGCCATTGCCTCTGTTGTCCAGGAGGCTTGCAGTTCTCCTCTGGATGTCTCCCAGTTTTGTCTGTGCTAAGGTAATTCTCTTGAGTCTTGAGGTTCGCTAGCTTTTGTTCACGAAGAGCATACCTTTCAAATGGTATTTGAGAAGATCTAAACAGCTTGGTTTTCCTGTGGGCCATGTCAATTACAAATCAGAGCTGACTAACCAGTCTGCCTTTTAAAATCTGGTGGTTTTAGGCTTCTTTTTTAGGGAGCTGCATGCAGTATTTCCTCTAACTTGTTCTTAGCATGTAGGTGTGAAGTGCTAGGAACTACAATAAGTAAATCAAACAGCAGTTCCTAAACTGGCAGTACTCTGGTATTGTGGAACAAAAGAAAGAATAAATGTAAGATGTCTTATTACAAAAAAAGCCCTTCAAGTCTCCAGACAGGAACCTCAGACTTGCTCAGTATAGTTTTGAATATAAAAATTAAATGCTTAATGTTTTGTTGTGGTGTTTACCTGTTGTAAGATATAATACTGCCCGTTATGTAGGTGTGGGGGGGGAAATCTTCTGACTTTGTGTTATGAGGTAGCGGAGATGTTTTAGAACCTGCTGTTCTACAAACATACAAATTGTTATATTAGATTTTAATTTATTCTCATCACACCAGTAACAAGGGCTATGTTGTCTGGCAGAGTAAACCTTTGTGTACTTTATTCAGGAATAGTTCAACCTGAAAAAAAAAATGCTGTAGAGTTAAAACTTTTAACCTCTGTTTGGTATTTTGAAGTCTGATGAAAGCACTGAGTAGTTTTAACACCAGCCTAGGAAAGTAGGCCTTTAGGGAGGGCAAAGGACTGGGAATGCAGTCAGTTTAGCAGAAAGACCTTGTATCTGGGCCTTTGTTCAGTGCCTTAATTAATAGTTCCTCCCTTAGATTTTATGGGAAGTATCTATCTGTACTGACATCAGGACTAATGATAGTTTCAAAGCTGTCCATTGTCAGTTTCTCATGTCTATTAGAGCCTGGTCTTTTGTGTCTTGGTCTGCCGCATTGTCTCCAGCTTTGCAGCTAGTTTCTGTAGCCCATGTCATGTGTCATACTTGGCATACTTATTTTGGCACTACTTTGCAAGAGGACTTACCTCTCTAAATTAGGGGGGAAGCTGCTTGAGCCTTCCTCAAATTTTGCTTGTTAATATCAAGGCTGTTCTGATTTTACAGGACTCAACAAACTACAGAGATCAGGTACATAGAAATACTACATTCAGTCAGCAGAGGGAGAAATCTTGCCTTGAAGAATGTAATGATGGGGATTTGAAGGGAACATTTGTTTTTAAAAAATAAATGCCACTTGAGTTGTCCAATTCTCTGTCAGTTTATTCTCAGCAGGGGCAGCTCACCTGTGTGTGACTTGGGGTCTGGAATTTCTTATAAATACATACAATATTTATAAGCATACATACGTAGAATATAAGAATACATGTAAAAATAGGCAAACTGCATAATATGCATTAAGAACACTTTTTCTCATCATCTGTCACGTCAGTGCAACAGCACAAGGCATTGTGCTGTTGAACATGAGAGAATCCTTGCCTTTTTCTGAGTGAACACTACATGTGTAAAGATTAAGTCTGTCAAGAGAGGAGGCAGCCAAATAGAGGGGCTCCCCTATCTGGACAGATATCTGCTCAAACAGTTTCATTTTGGATGAAATGTTAGAATCAATTCCTCAGTGTAGAAGAACAACATATACTGGCTATTTCACAAAACTGTATTGGTTACCAAGTACTGAAACTGCTATGTAAAGTTTGCTTGAAGTGCTAGATTTGTCAAAGGCTTGTTGAAATGTCAGATTCAAAGAATTGTAATGTAATACATTCAATTTGATTAATTAAAACCTTGTGTACAGGCAGTTTGAAGAAAATGAATTTTGATTAAGCTAAGTCTTTTTAATTACAACACTGACAGTATGTCAGCAGTCTATGTTAATATTATCTTTATAATGAAGGCCTTTGGTAATCAATCATCACCCAGTTATCTTGTATGTAATGCTGGAGTTGGAGGCAGTTTTTTCTCTGAATCGTGAGGTCTTTTTAAAACAGTCACCCCTGATCATCTTACTCTTACATCATACAGTCAAAGAATAAGAGCTACATTCACTATGTATAGTGGAGTGAGGTGAATCATGTGTTTTCAGACTTCTTTAAGATGTCTTTTTATTAACTAAAATTCAGGTTTTGGGTTAATACTTAATTTCTAATGTAAATAAATGGCAAACTTTTAAAGCAAAGTTAGATTAAAGTGTAATTACTCTTTGTGCATCTCTAAGTTAAATATATTTACACTGGTTTTCTTCTGACTTTATCATAATTAAGAGATCCTCTGTTTTGCTATGGTTGTGCTTAAGGTGTTTCAGTTTTTTGGCTGTATTTCGGCTGTTGTGTGTTTACTTTTTTTTTTATATTCCTTTTTCTCTTTTTATAGTGCAGATTCAGGTTGTATTTAGTATGTTATTCCTGCAGTACTTGGTTTGATTTTTTTTTTTTTTTTTTTTTTTAACTTTCCAAAATATGTTTTCAATCCAAATGTGTTTGAGTGCCTCATCAAATAAATGTTAAGGGTGTGGTGGGGTTACAGTAGTGATGTCAAACAACTAAAGTTTAAAATTAATTTCTTAACAAGGAATAATAATGCTAACTGTCTTTTTAATTCTGAAAAGATTCAACTATTACGTATTTTTGTGTTAGCATTTATGTATAGATGTAAAAAGAGGCATCTTTCAAACATTACTCTTACCAATTTGAGAATATTGCCATACAATGTGCATTGACTTAAGTTGGTGGTTTGTTTTTTATAAAGCATCTTGTCTTTCAAGTCCTAGGATGCAATCTGAAGTAGTAAGGGCTGTGGCTGCAGAATTACTTTTAGCTCTATTAAGCTATGCACTTTTGATATGTACTTGAGTTCTTGAATTGCTATCTGATAAGACTTTTTTCCAAAGCTATATATCTCCAAATCACTTGGGGCTTACAATATGCTAACATTCTCACTTTTTTTTTTTTTTTTCCCTTTAAGGCAAGAACTTCTGAAATGGAATGGATGGGGATATAATGACTCCAAATTTATCTTCAATAAGAAGGGTCAAGCAGAATTCACAGGAAAAAGGTAAGTTGAAAATTAATACAACTGAAGTATCTTATTTAGTAGTTTTTTGAAAAGAGTGTATAAACTGCACCATTTAGTTAATCCAAAGAAGGCAAAGGACTTGCTTTTTCATAAAATAGGTTAATAGCTGTTGTGCATTTAACAGTTTTATTGAATTCTATACACAGTAGTCTAACATGTAATAGACTGTGTGCTTTATTGGAAGGCTTATTAAAAATACTAAAGACAAATGAAAATTAATCTTTTCTGTAACTTGATATACCCTATGCATTAAACTTCCTTTGGAGAATGGAATCAGACTGAGAATCTGCACCATGTTCTAAAGCTTTAGATAACATGCAGCAGGTCAGTCTAGTTTTGAGAGCAACAAGTTGCTTTATTAAACTTCCAATTTGTATTTTAGGTTTCTTAACTATTGTGCATGGAGCTACTTTATCCTCTGGGCTTAAAAATACAAATTGCTCTTCAGCTGTATGTTCTGTAATAGTAACACTTCTGCCTTTTTATCTACTAGCCCTTTAAAACAGCAAGCCTGTTTGTCTAAGAAATATTTTTTTTTTGAGGAAATGACATTAAAATTAAGGCTACTTGAGCATCTCTTAACTTTCTTCCAATGAGATTTAAGCCTGTCACTTGTCATTTTACTGGTTTTTTTTCTGCCTCAGTGGAAAGTGGTCTTGCAGTCTCTTCCCTGGTTTAAAAAATTTACTTTTTGTCAGAGTAAAGAAAAAGAATGGGGAAAAAACCCGTTTGAAATACGTACTGTCCTTCAGAAAAAATAATTCCTGGTCTTCAAGTTTGTGTAAACTAGCATGAGCTAATCTGAATCAAAGCTGCAAAAGCCTAACTGGGATGTTGAGCAGTTTGAGCCTTAAATTCTTAATTATCAGGCCCAGATTAAAATGCAAAGCCTTATTTTGGACACTTGAGTACACTGTATAATATTTAGGGAGATCTTGGTGATCTTTTGCCAGGACTTTGACTCTTGTCACTTTGATTATTTTTTTTCATCTGATATTTTTTAGTTTATCTGGGGTAGCTTATGCTACATAGAATCTATGCACTGTGCTTTGAAGGAAAAAAAAAAGGTAAAGGGCTGGACTTGAATTTTTTTTTTTTCAGGAGGAAGCATCAAGGCTGCTGTTTGACAGATGAGTATCAGTTGCTGTTCTAGAATGGGAAGAGGATGGTGTGGCCCTTTTGGGCCCCACCAGTGCAGTTCCTATAGAATAGTTTGTTATAGTGGCAAAAGAAGTGTTCCAAGTGAAAATAGGAGACCAGGTATCTGTGGAGATATAGATGCCTTGTCCTTTTGGTATCCACTCCAGATACGTTGTCTATAAATTTGTCTAATAGCTTTCACATCTGATGATGCTGTCTGCCTTTATAGCATCCCATGGCAGGAAGTTCCAGATTGCTCTTGTGTAAAGTACTTATGTTTTAAACCAAATATCCCTTACTGTGTTGCAGGATTAAGTGAATGATAGTTCTTCAGCCTCTCTACTGTTTTATTGATTTATATAAGACTCAATTGTATCCTCTCTTCCACTTTCCATGCTGAGGAGTCCTGGGCCCTTTTGTCTCTGTAAGGCCCCTTGATCTTTACAGTTGCTGTTCTCTGAACCCTCTCCTCCAGCTCCACTACATCCTCTTGGAGATAGAGGGACAAAAACTGTATGCAGCACTCTGTGGATACACCACAGTTCTACAGAGCAGCAGAAAGATGAACTCTATCTTTCTTATACTTGCCTGATTGATGCATAGCACTGTTGGCTGCTGTATGTTGTCAGTGAAAATGCCATGATTTTTCTTATACTGACTACCAGTCTGATTCTGCAGAATATTCAAATGCTTTTTATTTTCTGCTTTTGTGATTATCTACATCTTATCTTTCATCTGCATTTGTCTGCTCAAGTATTTTAAGGTCCTGAGTTCCTATCAGTGTAGTATCTGTCTCCCCAAAAGAGCTTAATATTATTCACCTAGTTGGAGAGTCCACTGATGAATCCAGATCACTGAGGAAGATATTATGTAAAACTTGTCCCAGAACCAGTGTGTGGCAGGCTGCACTCCTGAGTCTGTGTTGGACAGTGGTCAATAAACCCTGCCCTTTGCTTCTTATCTTATCCGTAAGCCTGTAGAAGGACCTTTCCTTCAGTAGTGTATCAATGCATTTTCTTAAATAGCTTTTGGGATGAACACCTGTGGAAGCATAAAGGAGCGTGAAATGGGATTTCCCTTTGTGAAAGCCATGTTGACTTTCCCAACAGACCATGCTTTTCTGTGTGCCAAATGATCTTTTTATTATAGACTCTACCATCTCAGAAGGGACAAATGATACTTCTTAGCTGGAGCAACTAAACCTGTTTTTTTGTGGGGTGTCTGGGGGGAGGAGGTCTTTGGGGATGTTTCTTAGCGTATGTACAAAGCTTGCTTCCTGAGCAATTGTGTTGCATTCCATGCAGTAAACTCACCAACTCCCTCTATGCTGTCACTTCTGCCTGTGCCTTGGCTTAAAAGTTGTTGGCTTTAAGAGCTTTAGTTTGTCCTTTGAATAAGTGATTAAGGTTACCCTTGCAAGCTAGCTATTGTAATAGGTTGGCAATACCAAAAATTATGTCTAGAGAAGAAAACGCCAAGCTAACTTGAGTCTGTCTGTACCTTTGTTGCAAACTCCTGGTGCAAATGCATTAAACTTTAATTGCTTATTGCATTTTCATAGAATTCACCGATCTGTTTTGTATGGGTATGATGTAACTGTAACAGCTGTCACAGGAGGAATAACCGAATGTTGTCTTCCAAGCTGAAGATTCTAGCTTGAGTTGAGATATGGTTGTAGCCTTTTATCTCTAGGAATAGAGTAGGGGATTTTGCAATAGGAGAACTGGGAGGTAGTTGAGATGAGGAAGCAAAAGGAATTGATCTTTCTGTGTAATAGGTGACTTAGTGGTAGAGTTGGTTGCAACAGCTGTGAAAGACAGGGTCATAATTGGATTAACAGTGTATGAATAATCTTAGAAGGAATACCTGTTGGGCCTAACGCAGGGACCCAGGTGCGAACTATAGTAAGAATTCTCAGCTGCTGAAAACTGTTAATACCAAAGAAAGGTCCTTTTTCTCAGAGAATGCTTGTGCATACATAACCATGCACGAGGTGTGTATGTGTATACAATTAATAGCAGTAGTCTCTACTTTTTGTGTCCCCAACCTTATTTGCTTTTACATGTGTGGTACGCATGGTGACAAACAGCTCCTCTGTCTCTTGTCTGTAAGTCTTCATTTGTCCCATGGCTAAGCTCTTGCCAAAGAGCTGTCATAGAAATAATTTCACATTGCTTGATGGATTCTGATGCATTCTGATGATGAGGGAGGAACCTTTAACTTTTTCTAGAAAACATATAATGTGTACTGAGCTGGGTTTGTATGTCTGAGACTGCTGTTAATGTTGCAGTGTGTCCTTACACACATGTCCTCTACCTGTAACTGGCATCTAAACTGTGACACTTTCTACACTACTGAGAGGGAGAGACCTTTCTTAATAGTAAAGATGGGGTGTGGGAGATCTGAAAAGCCTTATGCCACAATTCCCATAGGTCATGAAGAAAAAGTAATACCTAAGATGTTGACAGCTTACTTGATTTTGTGTGAAATACTGAACAGTTAAATACAATGAAATGTACGGTTGCATGAAAACTAAATGTGCAGAAGCTTTTCAGGCCTGTAGGTAAAGAATTTGATTTAAAACTTATGTTTGTGCATATGTAGAAATGAAAGAAGTGTATCTGACATACATTCTTTTAATTTAAAATGACCCTATGTAATATTGACTTTTCAGGTACAGATTAGGTGGTATGATATTACCAACTTTTAAGGAATGGATAGAAAAAACCTTTGGAGCAAGTCTGGAGCACAAAACTACCTCTAGAGTAAGTAAATAGCTGAACCAGTTCCTTTGAACATTAGTCTTGGTGATGATCAAGACCGTACTGTTAAAGATGAATCAGCTGTTGTCCTGAAAGTCATGTTGCACATAATTGATGTAGTGTATTAATAACTCAGTTTTTGAAAAAAGTATTTGATGTAGAACTACTACATGAAACCTTCAGTGACTTAGCATGTCTTGTGATTCCAGGTTAACTGGTAGTACTTTTACTGGCATGAAAAAATCTTAACACAAGGAGTGTTTTGTCCTTGTTTCTAGGTTGCTTTTCAAAATTGTAGCCTAGAGGAAATTGTTTATGCAACTTCAGTGTTCATAACAAAGACAGAAGATACAGTGAAGTTAAATTGTGCTATGTTTTCAGTGTGTTTAATGATATCAAAGTTCTTATTTGACAGTAATTTTTTTTAATACATCTGGGTGCTGAAAACTGACTACCAGAATACTCAAGATTGAACTGAGTGTTTTCAGAAAAACACAAAATGTTCTGGGTTTTGTGAAGCATCCGTATTTTGCTTTTTAAAAAGATTAACTCCTGTTAGTCAGGCTACCTGACTGCCTTCTGAGAATTCCTTTGAGCCTGTAGCTTTGTGACTAGATACCTGCTAAGTGGTGTTGGAAGCAGGCTGTGCTTGTACAGTGACAGTAGCAACCCTGCTTTGGATAAGTTTTACCTATTTCGTGAGTGAGTTCAAGATTGCTTTTTGTCTGAAGCAGGTAATCTCACAGGGCCTGAAAACTTGAATGTTTCTTCTCTCTGCTCTTAATCAAGACATTCTACCATCTGCTGTGATTTGCAGTATCTATGTCTGTCAATATATTTTGAAGAAATTAATCTTAATGTGAGTTTTCCTTGACTAGGATTGGTCTTGATTGGCAGATGCTTTAACTTGCTGTGACCAGAGGTCTTGAGAGCTGTTGTTCCCTTTCTACATGTAGAAGAAATACAGAACAAAGTGGAGATGAAGGAGGAAGGCAGATTCTTAAATAGTATCTTGATTCCACAGCACGGCTTGCAAACTAGCTCTTCAGGCTATTTGCCGGCAATGTTGAATGCTTTCCTGTTATGTTGTGCCCCTCTGGTTCTGATGTTCATGTCACAATCTGAAACAGGCTCACCAGCTTGACATGGAGTAGTACTCTTTGGAGTCTCCAGTATCTATCTGGACTTCTCATAGCTATTCTCAACTACTAGTGCAGGTCCCCCATTTTCCTGTCTCTTGTAGTTCTGCGTTCATACTTTAGGTAGTTGCTATATTGGTTCTTCGCCTATCATCAGAGCATGAGGAAACTTGGGTATAGGAACAGCAGTAGGAGAGGGATCTCTTGGTCCATTTGTCTATTTCATCTCTTCCTGTCTCTATGGTATAAGACTGGAGGGTTCACTGTTGCATGCAACTGTTCCGTATAATTAACAACCGTAAATGTACCTGCTTCTGTGATGCTCGAGGACTGATGACCTTTTTTCCTTTTCAGACTAGACTTACCACAGACAGCAATTTAGACCTCATTGACACAGGATTCCTGTCTAGCCTAGTGCACAAATCTTAAAATATTTCAGCCCCATAAGAATAAAGGTATATTTTTGTTTGGCATTGTGCATAAGATTTTTATAGATGAATATTAACTTTTCAAACTTGAAGATGAAAACTAAGGGATTAAAATACTTGTGGAAGAGATAAAGATACTTAAAACCACCTGAAAGGAATTGTTACAGCTTTTAAGTAGTTTGTGCCCCTCTTATGGAGAACAAAGGTTATCTTGAAATGATATGAAACACTTATGTCTATGGAAATCTATGAAGAAACCAAATTTTAAAATAGAAAATGTAAACATAGCTGGCAAGGATTTTTTTTTTTTTTAAGTAGTATACAGATCTTTATTTGGTACCTATTTGTTTTTCTCATTTTCCAAGCTCCTGTCAAAGGTTTGGTCTTTGAGTTAGCTAACAGCATTGTGTGAATGTACATTAATAGCAGAATAGTAAGAGCTAAGAGCAGCAATCCAAGACCTGACTTACTATGTGCTTATTGTGACTGGCCCCTAAAATCATCATCTCACAGCAGAGGTGTGCCTCTCACCTGAACAACACTTAATCTCAACTTCTGTGTGTTTGTAGGTGACAAAGTGAATATGTTGGTGGGAAAGGCCTTTTTCTCATATGTCTGACATCTTATTCCAAGATGTACAATATTGTCGTTAAAGCAAGACAAAACAGCTCATATCCTCTTTTAGAAGTTATCGTAGTTAAATATAGTTAAAACTATATTTTCATTAGGTCACGTGTCTCATAAAAATTCTAAAACAAACATTTGGCTATCCTTTTGGACCTCTAAATGTTGTTAGCTGTTGGTCATGAACGTATCTCATGCAGATACTGCTTTCTGAATTATCCCTGTAAGTATTCTTAATTTCTATAGAACCTCACATAGTTTCTTGTATGTTGGACACTGGTAGGCAAGTTCCATCACCATGGATTGTTTAACTACCCAAAAACTTACCTGTTGAAGTTTAAATATTCCCTTCAGCTCTCATGACTTGAAGACTCAACCCATTCAGAATAGACTACTGCCATGGTGGCAGATGAGAAACTGTTAATCTCTGTTATCTTTGCTGTTATCTTGGTTAACTGGTGCTCTCCTCCAAGCTTTTATCTTAAGACACATATTGGCAAAAAAGTATCAGCTGTTCTGGAGGTTATGTAGAGCAAAGATAGGTAGAACTCCATTCCAGGAAAGAAAACTTGGATGGGTGAGTATACTTTTTTTATGTAAGGCTGAAACTTCAGAAGGTGAAAAAAGTGAATTCAGTTTTTCTGTTTTCTCTTTGTACTTGTTGAGAAGCATAGGCTAGGTTGATCACAGAAATGTCTTAAGTTTTTTCTGACTATGGAGAACACTTTGTGCAGAATACGTTTCAGAGATAGGGCTGTAAACAAGCTCTTTCTGGCATCATTAGGCAGCCTATGGTCTTTCTTTGATAGCTTTATAACAACATTGCAAGCATGTTCTTTATTTGAGTTGAAGGTGATGTTGGTTAATGTGCCAGCAAGGTATCAATGAGAGAAGTTTGAAAGCACTGCACGATGTTTTAACTATTTTTTGTGCAACTCCTAATTTTTAATGATGTATTTAAAATAAAAGATGTGGTAGTGAAAAATTTTCAGTTCTGTTCTCAAACTTGAGGGACCTTTAAGTAGAAACAAGATTCTTGACAAACATTTTTTTCTCAAAATAGGAGTTGAAGTTTTTAGTCCTAAGACAAGCTTTATATCTAATTAAAGAACTCCTTACTTAGAGGCCATTTGTAATAGAAGACATATTCCTTTAGGGAGATTACCCATAGAAATGTATAAATTAATTTACTGTCTCCATTTTTAAGGAGGAAAAAAAAAGTATGCAACCGAAAAAAAACTGTGTGCATCTAGTCAGCTGAATATGAGGTGGGACAATTGCAATCTGTGATTGAAGATGAGGAAGAGAATTTCTGTATGGGATCTTGAATAGTTGTGTTTAGGTATCAGTTAGTGCTGTCCTACTTTTATTATTTCTGTTGTACAGTAATGCTGTAAGACTGAACCTACCTTTAATGAACATGTTTTCTTGTATTGTAGGCATCCCTAAATGTTAATGATGTACCTCCATCCATTGTAAGTGAAGAATTTCTTCAGGATCTTAGAGCCACTAAAATCTCATATTCGCAGGATGCAGAAGATAGGGTATTTAGAGCTCATGGTAAGAGAACTTAATTTATGTAACTGTGCTGCTTTCAGTGCTTCCTGTTTGAACTTGTTAACTTATTGTTTTTGTTTCAGGTCACTGCCTGCATGAGATATTTGTACTCAGGGAAGGAATGTTTAAAAGAATTCCTGATATAGTTATATGGCCTGGTAAGCTCTGGTTATCTTATTCTCCCTTCTGATCTGGGAGGCTATTGTTTAGAAAACTCCCGTGCTTTCTTGTCATGGGGAAGCTGTCTCTTGGTTCACTGACTACATTAGTCTTTACAGAAACTGAAGGAATTTTCTCATGAGTGGTAATCATGATTGATTAACATCTGGATTGGAGGTTGTGCCTATGAAATACCATCATTTCATGGGGAAGTCAAATTTATTATTAAATTAGCTGGTTTCTGTTGACAGCTGAATTCATTACTTAAGTAGCCAGCAGTGTAATTTGAACTTGTATGTTCACCAAGATTAGTTGTCTAAATGGCAGTCTTTAAAGGAGTACATGATGGTAGAAGGGCAATGAAATGTTTGTATTAAAGAACTTTGTTTTACAACATGCTGTACTTCAGTGAAAGTGTAACACCTGTAACTTCTATCAGAACACTTTACAAAGTATCATTGACTCAGAGAAAGACCAGTGCAATCTGAGTACAGGCTAGGCCTACTTTAAAGAGAGTAGTAACTAATTCTGCTGTAGATAATATGTAGCAGAAAAAAAGCTTGCTTCTACCTAGCAGAAGGATACAAATACTTAAACTGATGTGACTTTATTTGCATACTTGTGGAAATTTTCTATTTGAGTCATGTGGTCACTAGGAGCTGCTTTCCAGCTGCTTTCCGCATGCCATTCCTCAGCAGCTAACCACAAAGTCATCTGACCTAAGTACCTGTCAACTTCTCTTCAGCTGTCTGAATTCAACTCTTTCCTTACCTTTTATAATGTTCTGATACTTTGGTAGCTGCACTGCATTCGAAACCCCATAATTTCTGATAAGAACTTAGTCTTAGCTCAGTTTTGCTTCCTTTATTTAGGAGGAAAAAAAAATCGCATATGGGAGGCATAAAAAGAGTCACTATAAGATGTATCTCATTACTTGAGGGCAGGTACTGACATGACAGCACTGGTGACTGGACAGCACTTGTCACAGCTTTTTGCAGCTCCAAAAGCAACTGAAGTAAAATGATTGACTACCTTTGTTTATAGCTGCTCTGTATGGCAAGAGCAAAGTAGCCATACAGAGCAGCCTATTTATTCAGTTCTGCTTATTCTCTGCTGTTTGCACAAACTCCTGTATGCACTGTATTTGATCTCTCCTTTTGATCCTTTTCCTTGCCACTGCACAAGCATTTCTGCTTCCCTCTTTGACCAGACACAGAATGCATTCTGAAAAAGTCAGTTTCAAAAGTAGAGTTTCTGGTGATGTTAAATGTTGGCCGGGAAGAAAAAGATGGGTGGTTCAGCAATCAGAAGAGACTCATTCATTGCTCATTGAAAAAAAATTGGTCAGCCTATTTTCAATAAAAGCTTTAAACTTGATTTGTTCTCCAGAATAACTGTTTGGTAGTCCATCTTGCCCTGAGAATTTGCAGGACATCTCAGTCCATGAGTAGAGCAGGAGACTGAAGCTGTGGTTCTTCAAATGTAGAATTTTCAGATCTAAACTTCATGCTGGAACTCTGATAATTCTGAGCCCAGCTCTTATGTAGTACCTAGCTCTTCGAAATGTCTTCATTGCTAGTGTCAGAAAAGGAGCTGCTGCTTATTCAGACTGCAATATTTAGTACTAAGCACAAAACCTGTTTTTAACTGTTTGGACTTTTTTAGTTTGCCATGAAGATGTAGTTAAAATTGTGGAATTAGCCTGCAAACACAATCTCTGCATAATACCGTTTGGTGGTAAGTGTTATGAAATCTCAAATCTGTTTGACATTACTAGTGAAAACGTATTCTACTTGAATTAAATGTAAATGTGATCCTAGTAATATATTGTACCAATAATTCAATAGTTAATTTTTTTAGTAGTATTTTAAGTGTGGTCTTAATTTTTTTATGATCTTCCAGTATTAAAAGCTGCTATATTCAATTTAGTGGAGGTCAGTAAAAGTATGTCAACACCTTGAATATTGAATGTGCAAGAGGAATGATTACATGAAGCTGAAATCTACCTCTGTCTCAGAAGTCTACTAGGAAATAAGTCAGGCAATTCAAATATCTGTATTAGAGGTATTTTGGTTTTGGACACGTTACTTGTGTTCTGTTCCCACAAATGTGTAAAATTAGGGTTTTTTTGTTGTACTGTTGAAGCTCATAGGTCCAGGGAGGATTGTGGTCAGCCACCATACTGCAAAATCATTAACCATTGTTATAACTTCCTTTTAGACATTGTTCTGTTTGAAAGTTGGAGTAGAGACTTCTGTGGCAAGGGGTTTTCAGGAAATGTTCCAGGTACAGAGTACAGGTAAAGGCCTGTATAATCTGTGTCCGTGTTAGCCAAAATAATTTCTAAAGGACTTCATGTCTTGAATTGTGGATGCCTTTTTTCTATAAGCCTGCTGAAGTAGGGTGGTGAGATATCTTGTTTTGACTTAGAGGTCAGGGAACATGGGATGTTGACTTTCATGAGCTCATCCTGTGAGAAGCTTTTTGTCAAGAACTCAGTTCTGTGGGATAAATGTGTTTTACTGGGTATTTGCTTGTGCTGTAGGAGTGTAGTCCCTGTAGAAAGGAAATTTACTATTTGATAAAATGAGCATGTCACTTGAAGACAATACCAAACTAGTGGAACTGGTTTCTCCCTAAAATGCTCTCACCCTTGCCAGATACATCTGGAGAGCTGTAAGTCTGCTGCAAGTCACCTCTGATACTAGTAAACTGGTATAGCTGAAAGCAGCAATATCAACTATCTCTTGTTCACTGACCAGGATACAGAAGTATCCTCAGATTGTTTTCCAAGTGTGTTTATACTGAACTACAGTCAACTTCTAGAGTTATTACTATAGCAGTTGGTATTTAAGGAAAATTACATCTTTCCTATAATCTGAAACAAAGGTGATGGGCTTTTTTGCTTTTGGAGAGTGTTTTATTAGTTGTCACTGTCTCTGTACTTGCAGTTGGTGGTTGTTCTGGTAGCTTGCTGTGGATCTCTAGCATCCTAGTATCTCTTTTCCTATGGCTTTTGTAGCTTTTGAGAAGCCAAAGGCTTCTTGAGGCTGTTCTGTGACATCCTGTAAAGATACATTAGAAACCTCTAGAGAAGTTTGACGTTTGGTTTTATCCATTTTTTTTTTTTATAGTTACACCCTTTCAGTTTCTTTCTTGCTTTCAGGTAAGTGGGCTGCGTCAAGAGAAGTGTGGCTAGCAGGTTGAGGGAGGTGATTCTCCCCCTCCACTCTGCTCTTGTGAGATCCCACATGGAGTGCTGTCAGCTCTGGGGTCCCTAACATAAGGACACAGACCTGCTTGAGCTGGTCCAGAGGGCCACAAAGATGATGAGGGGGCTGGAGCACATCCCTTATGAGGACAGGCTGAGAGAGTTGGGGTTGTTCAGCCTGGAGAAGAGGAGGGTCCAGGGAGACCTTATAGCAACTTTCCAGTACTTAAAGGGGGCTACAGGAAAGCTGGGGAGGGACTCTATCAGGAAGTGTAGGGATAGGATGAGGGGTAACAGTTTTAAACTGAAAGAGGGTAGATTTAAATTAGCAATAAGGAAGAAATTGTTTACTGTGAGGGTGGTGAGACACTGGAACAGGTTGCTCGGAGAAGTTGTGGCAGCCCCCTCCCTGGAAGGGCTCAAGGCCAGGTTGGACGGGGCTTTGAGCAGCCTGGTCTGGTGGAAGGTGTCCCTGCCCATGGCAGGGGGGATGGAACTGGATGATCTTTAAGGTCCCTTCCAACCCAAACCATTCTATGACTCTTAAGTATTGCATTCCTGTTTCAGGTAGACTTCTTAAGTCAACTTTCTAGGCAGATGTGTAGTGGCTTCCATGGTGATCTCAAAAACAAACAAACAAACAAACAAACAAACCCCCCCCAAAAAAACAAAAGCAAAAACAAAAACAAAAAAACCCCAAAACATAGCTTTCTCTGTTTCTTGGATGACTTTGTTATTTCTTACCTTTCTGTGTTTTAAAACTATTCTGGACTTAACAGAGCAGCTGAGATGGTCACAGAATTTCATGGTTTGTTATTAAGTGCTGTTAAAGCATTGTCAGCTCCAATACTGCCTTGATTTTGTGAAACCCAGTTTGGGAGAAGGGATGGCCTTAAAAGGCTAATCACTAGCCTCAAACAGTTAACTTCAATGATCTTATTTTTATTAAGTTTTCAATATCACTAAGGAGGGAGAGGGATGGTATGTGAAGAAAAGCTATATGAGAATTTTATGATCACAATGTCAGTCCCATATTTGCAGGAGGGACGAGTGTCTCTAGTGCCCTTGAATGTCCTGAAGAAGAAAAGAGAACAATTGTCTCACTGGATACATCACAAATGGTATGTGTCTTAGTGGTTTATTTTTATTTTTAAATTATCCTACAGTTACTTTGAATGGTGATCACTAGAGAATATTTATTTCTTTGTAAGAATAAAGTGGGGATGGGAGTGTTAATCTGTACCATATGTGATTAAATTGGTACTTGTTCAGTTTAAGTGATATTTTACTGATATTAGCCCTGTACTACTTCATGTGACCTATATGTATTTAATAAGAAAAATCACTGTTAAGCCTTCTTGTAGCAGCTTTAAGTGAAAATCAGAGGAAACTACTGTTCTTATATATTGGAACTTGTTTCTGAAGTTAAATGAAAGGCTAGGAGGAATGTATTTGTTATTGCAGATTTCACTAGTTTTTGCTAACTTAAAAATACTTAAAGCAAAGGTTGGTAAGGTGACCTAATATGTATAAATCAACTTGAAGGAGCAACTCTAAAGAAAAAAACTCTAGATTTTTGTGTAGATAGCATCTTGAGAATGTGAAGTTCATAGCTTTATGGCAGTCTAGAAATTCTGTAAAATTTAGTGCTAGTTTTCATCTTTCCATTATGAAGGAGCTTTATACTTCAAAAATGATAGTGTTATGACTACATGGTAATGAGATGCTTCAGAAACAGCACTGTATCTTTGATGTAAGGCTTTACTGCCTCTGAGCACCTGCTGAGCTTATTAACTCCTTTAGCCTTGAGGCAAGACCTGGATTTTGGCTTCATTTTATCCCCTTAGTCAGCGGCACTTCAGTTAAACTTGTTTCTCAGTCTGTTTGGCTACAGAGTGATCTCTTCTGCAAGGGTGGTAGTTGTGTATTGAAGGAAGGTCTTTGGGTGCCTATATAGAGTGAAACCCAAAGAGTAAAATACTGGCTTAGGCCTTCATTTGAACTCGTTGTTTCATAGCCCATGGCTTTGACTTCTGTCTGGTTTGCTGATAGGAAGGGAATGTAGTTAGCTGTTACCATGCCTTTGTGTCAGCTAGATATCTAAGTATACACGTAGTATATCTTGCTGCTATCTTGCTGCATCAAAATCCAAGAGCAGAACTGGAGTAACTGAATGCAGTCTATTTCAACCCGTGGAGTATGCTTAAGAGTACTTTCCTTGGTGTATACTTAATGTCCAGATAGTTAGATTCAGGTACCTTCAATCATGTTAATTGTGAAAATCACTGTATTGCTTTAACTTCTGTGAGAATTTAGACTTAATTCTTTCTGGCTTTTCTGCACTGTTTCTGTAAGCATTCCAGGTATAAATTGACTAAGTATGTTACTCTCTTATGGTGTCAACTTCATAAATTGTAACCTGTTGTGTAGCTGTTTGAGGAAGTGAGGGGGCTCATTGTCCACTGCTAAGTAACTGGAATTGTGTTAATAATAAACTGTATGACCAAGCTTGTTGATCCTATAGCATTAGGGAAGGAAATAAACAAAAATCTTTAACGCTGTTTCTTAGTTTTGATTGGATTTTCAACAGAATCGGATTCTCTGGATAGATGAGAAAAACTTAACAGCTTGTGTGGAAGCTGGCATTGTTGGACAAGATCTGGAAAAACAGGTATTTCTAACTTGTCAAGCATCTAGTATTTCTCCATATTTTTCTTAACTGTTCCTCATGTCTTGTCTAAATCATTGAATTCTAGCTTAATTCTTGTGTGTTTTCATGCAGACTGATGTGGTAAGCATTACATGCGTGGCTATGAACCATATCACACAGAATGCTTTATTTGATTAACATATTAAAATTTTTTGGCTCTAGCCACTAAATGTGATGACAGTAAGTTGACGATTTATAGGATGTATTACTATGCTTTCTGTTTCAGACTTTAGATATACCCTTGTATACCCATTCAAGGCATGACTCATTTACATATCTCATTTACAGATATCATGAACCTTATAATAGTGGCTAAAATCAAGAGCCAAATTCTAAACAAATAATAGATTTGAAAACCTGATATGTGACAAAATTTAGACTGCTGTAATGGGGCATTCAAAATCAGTGTACATTTCACACATTTGTCTGTCTTAGTGACTCGGTGATTAAGGCACTGTTTTCTGTGGGATGAGAACTCCAGATATTACTGGGCTCTATAGAGAAGGCTCGAGTTACTTGTTTTTGTCAGAACAGAATATGGAATAATAGCCAATAGATGATGACTAAAGGTGACAGAAGGGTAATGAAGATAGAACAATATTTGTATTTTGTAATAAGCATTATCAATCAGATCATGATCCTATAGAAAAAGGTACTGCATGTTCATGTTTTCCAGATGAGGCTGTCTCTTGCATCTGCTAAGTACATAGCATAATCTCTCCTTTGTCCTGTAAGCACTCTTAGCGGTTCATACAACAAGATTCAAGGAATTTAGATAAGGTGCTTTGTACATGCATAGTCAGTTGCAAATTTTCAGAAGCATGGTCTTCTGCTGTGCTTGTGTTTATACAACTTGCAGAAATTGGTAGGTTGTGACTGAAGCAAGCTTCTTGTCTTGGGGAATGAGGAGAGTGCAGGCTCCATCCCTTCCCTAATACATGACCAGTAAGCATATAAAGCCACAAGCTCCTCTGATACGAGAGGACCATGAGCTAGATGAATCACCATAGACATTACATAGAAGTGACTTTTAATCATTTAAGTTAGAACACTCTGTACAACAGAACATAGTTAATGATCCACATTATGCGGTATACTTAAATACCTGTGTCCAACTGGATTGTTATCAGTTGGTCAGTGCAAATTGATCATCTCAAATGCACTAACACAGTTATCACTTAATGTGAGACTGTTGGGTCTTTAATTCTTCCCGTCCAATAGGTTTGGTGTTGTGATTCTAAGGGCATCCAATCAACCTCAGGTGCTGTACAGATGGCAAAGCCAAGCTAATGCAGAAAAATGAGAAACAAGTGACTACTTAATGTACAGGAATGTGTGATCTGCATCACAAGTAGTTGACACCGTTGCATACAGGAAGCCCAACCAGATGGCTGTATATTAAAACACATCACTCCTTGAGAGAATTAAGTACAGGCAATTTGCTCACATTTTCTGCAGACCTGCTGTATATCGCATTAGGGTAGAAAGAACGAGAGATTAAGGGTCTTATTTATTGGCAGCATTTGTGCAAAGTTGGCAGTTAGTTATAATTTTTTTCCATATGTATTTGAATCTGCAGTTCCTTATGAACAATAGAGATCTTAATTTTAAAATATGGGGGAGGAGGACTATAAGTTGGTATGTAGCACAGTAGATGCAGAATCAATTTGCAGTTCATTTACATATCAAGGACAAAACTTAAGCCTGAATAAATGGGTGTGTGGTCAGGTTACTTATTCTAGGTTTCCTTTTTTAAAAAAATAATGGCATTTGGAGTGCTAAGCAAATGTGGGCTCTGTAGAATGTATTTTTTCTTTCCTTTAGCTCGCTGAAAGTGGCTTCTGTACAGGCCATGAACCAGACTCCATGGAGTTCAGTTCGCTAGGAGGATGGGTAGCAACACGAGCATCAGGCATGAAAAAAAACATCTATGGAAACATTGAAGATCTGGTAAATAGTTCTAATACTTTTTCTAATATTCTGTCTGGAGGTTTAACTTCTATACTGACTTACAATGAGAGGGCAGAAAGGATAGTAAATTGCATTTCTCATTACAAGTGATACAGTTCTGGCATCAAATCTTGACTGAAATGCTTGCTTGTTTGCTTTTGATGTTAGTACTAATGATCCTTATCCCTGATCTTAAAAGTCTGTTTCATTTTGGTACTCACTGGCTAGCTTAAGGAATTGTTATTCTGTCCTGACTGTTTTTTTCCACTGTTCTGTGTGCTCTATTACTCCGGTATAATAATCCTGTCAAACTTTTAGGGTGATTCCAAAAGGCCCATGCTCTCTCCTACCTGTTGTGTGTTCCTGAAGTTGTCTACTTGGATCATCTAACTGACACCAAGATAGCTCTTTCCACATTTCTACTCTCCCACCCCTCCCAGGCTAGTAGTTTTTTTTCAAATCAGTAGCCTGATCTAATCGACCATGTGGATGCACAATGATGAAATCTAATGCCCATCACATGGCCGAAGAACCCTGGGGAAGGAATGGCAGGGATCTACTCTTGAATCTGTTTTGAGCATTGAAATGGTTTATCTTTATATTAACCCAGGTAATTTGGTTTTGAAAGCATACTTTTTTAAAAAAAAAAAAATAATCTAGCTTTTCTGTTCCAACAAATATGTTGACGTTAAATCGTCACTGTTCAGACTTTGCCTTTTTGCTTCAAACTTCTAGCTTGCTTTCTTGTTTGTACAATGGCCCTTTCACATGTGTGGGTTTTCCTTCTTCCGTGCAATGCATTCAAGGTAATGTATCCCCATCACCTCAGGCTTTTTTGTCAGCTCATAGTTCAGACATGTCTGTTCTGTGCACAGATGTGACACTTTACTATCAGTGACTAAACTTGGCAGAAATGAAAGTTTTTATTCAGTAGGCCTGGCTGAACTAAAACTGCTAACACTTACAAAGCATCATCTGTCCCCTACTGCCTGAAGTGTTACTGAATGGTATAGTTTTGCTTGTACTGGGAGACATGAAGCAGAAGGCTTTTCTATCACGGAAGCATAACTTCAGGCTAAAACAGCTTCTGAAATTTGCATTAGGAGGAAATAGGATTGAAAATTGATTCCAAACAGTTCATGAGTTTCAAAATGGCACAGTGAGAATTTCAGGGTAGTGTTTACCTTCTGAGGAAACTTTATATCTAGAAATGGTGTGTTATATAAGCTGCCTGAAATCCACTTATTGTAGAATCAACAGTTCGTAAAATGCATATAATGGAATTCTTGAACAACTTGGAGCAGGATGAAAATGACTTTGCTACCTGTGCTGGAAAGTTTCAAATCTGAAATTCAAAGTTGAAATTCAGTAATTTTGCTTCATTTAAAGGCTTTGCTAAAAAAAACAAATCCCACCCTTCCTTGGTATAAAATAATTGAATAAAAGATGAGAAATAAATAATCTGGGCTCTTTATTGCATGTGCATGTATAAAATGGAAGCAATGACATTGAAAAATATTTTTAAAAAACAATCTTTTAGCCTTACTAAATCAGTCATAAGACTGGTACATATGTATTGATAATCTGTTTCACAAAGTTTACTTCTGATTTTCCTCCTAATAGAAATAATGCTCTAGTAAAGTTAATATAATCTAGTCATCAGTTATCAAGCAGTAGTTCTAAAGTAAAATTTAAACCCACACTTTTTTCTTCTGAAGTATTATGTATATTCTGGATTAAAACCCTAGTGTTCATAAAGTACTGTCTACACTGAGAAACAAAACAGTTGTAACTGAGATTGCCTGTATGTAGCCAGCAGCTCATTTGATTTGGCATAGAACTGGAAACAAACTGTTATGTGGGTAAACCGTGCTGCTAGAAATACTTGTTGGTCACAGTTCTCAGGTTATCTTATCCCCAAAGTTCTTGGGGTTGCCTACAGAATGCCTGAAGTCTGCAAAGCTGAACTGTATCAAGCTTAATATACATTTCGTAGAAAATAAATATCATCCAAAAAAATCTGTGCTTAATGCTACTATTTATAGTCATTGCATATTGTTTAAACAGGTGATTCATATAAAAATGGTAACTCCTAGAGGAATAGTAGAAAAAAACTGCCAAGTACCTCGCATGTCAACAGGACCTGATATCCATCACTTCATTATGGGATCTGAAGGTATAAACACAGTAATTTCACGTAACTGCATCTTAATTCAGTTTCTGTAATGGCTTGATGATTTGAGCATTTTTAATGCTGTGGCTTCCAGTGTGTTTATGTGTGGCATTATGCAGGCATTTTCTTGTGTTATGATAATACATTGAGACCTTAATTAGGACTCTGAAGTTAAGCACCTCTGAACAGTGCTTAAAACAGATCTGTGGAGTTAGCCTACAAGTCTACTAACAGACATGATTTGGAGGGTATCTTGTAAGAATTCACCATGGAAATAGTCAGGAGTAAATCACCTATTATTGTGATACTGAATTTTGGGGATTTCCGATGTATGTTAACTTACAGCATCCTGGTAAACAGTTGTTAAATTGGGTTACTTGCAATGAGTATATCTTGCAACACTTAGGTTTTTCTTTTTTCCTGAAGGAACTCTTGGAGTGGTTACTGAAGTTACGATAAAGATTCGCCCAGTCCCTGAATACCAGAAGTATGGTTCTGTGGTCTTCCCCAACTTTGAACGAGGGGTGGCCTGCTTAAGGGAAGTGGCAAAGCAGGTAAAGAAAAGCTGGATGTTGACTTCTCTCAAGAACACAGATTCTAGCACTAGGGGTGTGCTGATGGTCTAGTATTTCTGGCAACTGATAACCGAGGGTTTGAGATAAGTGTATGTGGTCCATGAGGCTTTTGGAAATTGTGCAGTTGAGGATTGAGCATGTTCTGAACTTGCTTGTGGTTCTGAGCCATATTGTGGATGTGCCTTCGATATTTTTTTTTTGTTTCGGTGGGAGTTATTTGCATATCTCAGCACAGAAAATTTGACTTTATCTCCTTAAATGGAGAGCTTTATCTTTAGATTAATTCAGGACTATGTGAAAGGGACCAATATTTAAAGGAAGTAAGTTGCAGCATACAAGTAAAAGGCAGTTGAATTTATGGCTCTGAAGTGACAAAGGAACAAAAGTCATGCAATGGAAGGATATGGCCTATGTTTAGAAAACACTTCCTGAAGCACAGTGACATGTTCAGATGGACTGGATATTTTGAGATGGAATTGTGCTTACACTGCAGTATTTAAATAGAGATTTCTGAGTAACGTGGTCAGATGGTTTCAGGTAGAAAAACTCAGACATGGTTATCCAAATTGTGTAATGCTTTTCCTCACGGCTGTGCTTCCAAGCAAATCTTATACTGGCTAGCCTCTTTCTTTACTATCTTGGACTAACTTTTCTTTGCTCTGTGCAAAACATATCATATTGTTTCTATGAATGGTGGAATATACCCTGAATTGGGGAAGTAATTTCAGAAATGTTTTAATTAATGCCAAACTAAACACAGCTTTACATTTTTTCCAGTGATTGGTCTAAATTAATGACTTAATGTTCCAAGCCAGATGTTCAAACTGGTATGTGAATGACATGTATATGCTAGTCAGCAGCACTTGCCAGTTCTTCTGTCGTGCTTCTACTGCTAGTGCTTGTTCCTCCTGTTAAAGGTACCTAAGCAGACTGTTTGGGAATGCTTAATCATATGGCTGATCAACATTTTATGTTAATTAAGGAACTAGTGTCTTTTCCTTAGCTATGGGCTTAGTTAGAAGAGGAAAAAAAGGCACTATTAGCCACTTAGTGTTGCTCCATTTCTAAGCTTCTGTTGCTGCTGCTGCTGTTTCACTGCTTATTTGAGCCTGAACTACTTATTCCTCTCTCCTGTTGGCCCTTGCATCAATCTTGGTAGTAATTACAATGATTGCTATCTGAAAAGCTGTTTTTTGTCTGTATTGGTCTACTTTAATGTAAGAATAACCCACCTGTAGGTTGTGGGTGGGTTGGTCTCATTTAAAACCACTCATCCAGCCTTTTCTGTCAACCTGCCCGGTGAGTTTAGTTCTTCATTTTCTTCCTTCCTATCGTATGACCGAATATATACTAATGATATGATGGAGGGTGGGCATGTCAAATCAAGTGATAGAGGAGTACTTCCATATCCATGTGATTAGATGAAGACTAGCCTAAAATTCAGGCTTTGTCGTATTCCTCTGTCCATACGTTTCAGTATGACTGGACATACCCATCACAGATTACATGATGTAGGCATATGTATGACCAGAAGCTTGCTTAATTGAAGGCAGCTGTTCTTACTGGTTTTCAGATTTCTGTACAGTGCAGAATCTAGATTGGACCCAGATAAGGATTTTAATTGCAGTCTAATGGCAGAGTGTGTACTGGATCTGGCTGAGATGGAGTTAATTATTTTCATAGCAGCTCGAGGTGATGCTATGTTTTTTGTTCTTGTGACCAAGACAATATTAACAGACCAGTGTTTTAGCTGTTGCTGAACAGCGTGTACACAGTGTCAAGGCTTTCTGTTTCTCACTCTCCTCCCATCAGCAGGTAGGTTGGGAGTGGAAAAGAGGCTGGCAGGGAGCACAGTTAGGACAGCTGACCCAAACTGACCAAAGGGATATTCCATACCATATAACATCATGGTCAGAAGTAAAACGAGAGGGAAGTTTTTCAGGGGTTGCCATTGCTTGAGCACTGGCTGGATGTTGGACAGCTGGTGGTAATTGATTACTTTTTGCATCACTTGTTGCTGGGTGTTTTCCCATTTTGTTTATCAAGCTGTTTTCATACCAGCCCATTAATTTTCCCACTTTTGCCCTTCTGATTTTCTCCCCCATCCCACTGGGGGGAGCGAGTGAGCATCTTTGTAGTGCTTAGATGCCAGCCAGGGTTAACTCACAACAGTTAGACATTTTCAATGGATTTGTAATATATGTGTATCTTTGATTGCATAGCAACATAAGCTTAATATTCTAATCAAGTATGGGATCTTTAGTGCATATGGCAATTTAGAAAAACACTCAATAATTGAAGGCCAAAGATTTTGGACTATTTCTGTGTTGGCTTGAGGTTAAACTGAAAATTCTTAATGCATTATATCTAGACATATCTAATAGGTGTTGCTATTCAAGTAAAAACAACCTTGTAATAACCCCTTTTCAATTATATTGATGGCCACAGGCCTCTGGTATCAAAGTGTGCTTTCTTGTATGCTATTTTAAATGAAAATTTGATTGTCACGAATTTCAGCAAAACTACGTAATCTTTTTATTCTTCCTCCCTCTCATTCCCCTAACTTTGTCCCCAAGAGATGTGCTCCTGCATCAATTCGCCTTGTCGACAATGCACAGTTTCAGTTTGGTAAGTATGTAGCTCTTCCTGGATGAATACCTGTTTCCAGAGAATTTGATTTTTAGTAGTTTAAGTCTCTTCTGGGTGGTAATTCTTTTGCTCAAAACTAGACAAAGAGGCAATGAACCCAAAGTTCAAACTCCAGTTAGTGCCATAATGCGGACTTTCTGAAACAGAAGCCTGTCTTTGTCTATGGGAAAACAGTATCGACTATAGCAGGCAGTAAAGAACCATGCTCTACATAATAATACATGAAGTGGTTTTTTGCTACCTTTCCATTCCTGGCATATAGTCTACTGGATAGTTTGAAATTCTGGAGTCACTTCCTCTGTTTTACTGTAAAGGAGCGGAGGTGATAGTTTTGCAATACAGTACTTAAAACATTTTCTTAAGAATTGTGATGAGAAGTTGGGTATGAAAAAAGTCAGAATGCAGGCACTTTTGAAGGTAAGTTGGTTGATTCCTTTAAATTTCATAAAAGCATCACAAGCAGTATACAGATTCCTTAGAAGTAGCAGGTTTTTTGAAAATATTCTGATGTGGCAATGATCATTTGGGTGGAAGATAAGCAACGGCATAGTTGTCCAAAGTGAGCTGTCTATCTATAAAAGAATCTTAAATGTAGTAAATGCCATAACTTTGTGCAAATAGAACTAAAGCCTACAGCTTAAGCGTAGGAAGCCAGTGAAGCTACTAGAAGATTACTGAACACAAAGATTTTGTTAAAAGTCCTGTTTAGGTATTTGAACAAGTTAATGTCAGACATGCAGACAGTAATTTTTGAGCAATTCTTAGGGAAAGCTGTCACTTTAAACTGCGGGAAATTTGACAAAAGATAAGTTCTCCTCAAGAGTATCTTGAGCCAGAACACAAAGTTCCACTACCCAAAAGCTAATAGCTTACAGAACTTTAAGGTCTTGCTGAGACCATGCTGTTTTGATTGTGCTCAGACGATGACAATGTGAGCTGAGACTGACCTTGAAAACCTTTATTCTAATACCAGTTGAACAAGTCAGAATTTCTGAGACTCCTTTTGAACAGAAGACTCAGTGATGTATCTGGGCTTCAAGTGGCATTAATATGATGGTGTTGAGAAAGTTAAGCTTTGTTTTTCAAACCAAGGAAATCAGGGATTTGTAAGACCTGAGAATACAGCAAGCCTTGCTTCTTGCTTTTGGTCACTGACATGTACAACAGAAAGCAGATGCATTTTTCTTTCTTCTTAATTGGGAAGAAGTTTCACCAGTTACAAGCTTTAAACCCAACACTGAATAAACATTTCTTCTACTTTTTAGCTTTGATATGAGGTTGCAACTTACACAGTTCCTTGCAAAACAGTTTCGAGTGTGTCAATATAGATTTTAACTTGTAGTCATTATTAAGTAGGCTTAAATCCAATCATTTTTTATAGATTGTGGTTTAATAAATTCATGTCCTTCTGTTAACTGGTGCTTTTCTGTGTGCTTGGAGGTGGACTTCTTGGGGTTTGTATCTGCAGGGAAAGTCCCCTTCTACTGAGGAGGGAAGGAGAGTAATAAATTGCTGAAGTTCAGGCTTTATTCAGGAGGAAATACTTCCTTCTGAAATACTTCACAAAGTATCATGTAAATGGTGCATAACTTTTTTTATGAATTGGGCTCACAGCATGTAGGCCAGATGCAAGACTGTTAAAGTGAAGCAGTAATGGGAGTTCAGAAGTTGCTTGTGACTGAAAACGATGGAACAAACAGTGAAAGACTTTCATCTCAATTAAACCCAGTCCTGAGGCAGATATGTTAATTTAACAGACTCCAAGATACCATTTATATATCCTGGTGATTTTAGTTCCCCGTATGTGATTAAGGAAGCAATTACTAGCTTTATGTAGAAAATTTTGCACAAGTGACATAACTGTTCAGGAAATAATTGCTTAACTCCTAACTTGCACCAATTTTGGCTATTGGTTTTGGTGGTTTTGGCATAACTTAAAAAAGAGGTCACTGATTTTGCTTAGTTTTGTAGTGTAAAAATTAATGAAGTGCTCTTTTAAAATTTTCCATGTGCCATATGCTTGTGAAGATCTAAACTAGGGCAGCCTTAATGTTTCAAAAGAAATATTTGTGCACAGTCATATGTATGCCTCTTTAGTAAAAAACTTTTCTTGAATCATCTTCTAAACGAGTAGAGAGAATTTTCTTCAGTTATGATGATCAAAGTGCTCTAAGTGATTCTTGCAGCTTTGACTACCAAGCTATCTTTTTTTTGTCCATTGCAGTCGGAATTTTAAGAGCACTGTTTGCCTTAACACACATTTTTCCACTTCTTGTCAAAGGTCATGCTCTTAAACCACAAGTTGCTTCAATTTTTACATCATTTTTGGATGGACTGAAAAAATTCTACATCACAAAGGTAACTTTGGGGGCTTAATACTGTATGGAACTGCATACTTTTCATAAAATTCAAGATTTTTTTGGTATACTGTTTCTAATGCAGCTGAGTTTGAGTGTAACAGATACTACATTGTAGTATCAGATAACTAGAGATTCCTGAGGTTGTTTAATCCAAAATGAAATTAACTGTTTGAGGAGTTATTCCATGAGAGCTGTTCTCACTGGTCATATCTGTAGATGAGATTAATGTGCCTTGTCTAACAGTGAGTCAGTCACAGAGCAAGACTGGAACCAATTTATTTAGCTTGCAGACCACTGATCATAAGTTAATACTGATGGAGTGAGACTAACACTTTACCTTTTCCTTTTCTCAGATTTTTTGTCAAGGCATGATCTATTTTGTTATTACAATGAAATAGAATTTTGGGAGAACCTTAAGATATTTGTCTTGAATTGCTCATATAGATTGGCTTTTTTGTCTTTCTGGAATTCATCTCAATGAATATCCTTTTTAATACAGAATCATCTGGTGCTAAAATTACTTCACCTAGGTTTTTGTATTAAATAATTTATTATGTTACTGACTTTTTCTTCCACATTAGCTAACTAGAGAGTTCCTGCAAATATGGATATTCAAATATAGAAAATTGCATTATCCTGGATTTAGATAACTGTCAGGGGGTAAACATGCCATCCTGATCTGACAACACTGAGTTTTCAAGGAGTAGGCTAACTTGAGAGACAGTGGCTAGTGTTGATTCTGCTGCTTCTTGTGCTACTGAAGTAGAAAATGTCATGTGTATGGGGACTTCTTTTGCTAGGGCATACCTATTGGGTTTAGAGAGCCCCAAAATTTTGCCTTCCCTCTGACTGGGGCTCACCATACAGATTTGAGTTCATTGGCTGGAGGACTGAGCCACCCTAAGATACTTTGTCTCCTTGCTGTTTTATTTTGGACCCTCTTAGTACCTTTAGTTAACTTCCAGTACAGTTAATCTATTCAGTTAAGAGAATAATAAAAAGAATAGCAGCTAACTGGGATTTTTCTCAGTGTAGCTATTGCATGTAAAGGATGAATTTCAGTTTCTTGACTATTAATGTAACTTCATATAACCTTGCTTGGTGCTTAAGTAATGAGTTAACCACAAGCAGAGTAGAGAGTAGAGGTGAACGCCACTGGAAAGGTAAAGGCTTTAAGAAAATATTATATATATTGACCAGCAATTAAGAATATGTACTAAATAATAACCTTTTTCACAATTACAAAAGGGTAAAACTTTATTAAACTTTATTTGCTACTCTAATCTCCATTCCATCTGAAACCTGCTTAGTAGTGGTAGTTCAATAGAGCTAATTAATAATAAAAAAAGATATGTAGAAAATAAGTAAGGCTCTTTTTGGACCAGTTGCAAAGATATGACTCTTGACTGTTACTCCTGAAACAAAGCCATACAGACAGCCTCACTGCATTACTATTAAACCTTTAATAGTGTTCTCCCCATTTCCAATGGGATATGTTCCCTGCTACAAGTTTAGAAGTTATTTTCTTTCCATAGTTCTTTTCCCAGCATAGAGATTTTCCGTGCCACTCTGCTGATACAACTATATTGAGAGCAGTGACATTTATGGTCATCAGTCATTTTCCTGCTTTAATACAGGAATAGTTGATATAATATAAATGTCTCCCTACTGCTCAAAGCATTTAAGACCTGTTCTTTCTTCAGCGTAGGTAGACAACTGTTACGTCGAGCCTGCTTTTTAGCAGGAGAAAAAAGGTAACAAAGATAATCTGTGTTTCAGTGGACTTGTGAATGCTTGTCCTGTCAAGAAAACTCTTAATTGTTTAGGGAGTAAAATTTTGAAAGATGTTTTTTTCCTAATCTTTCATTTTAGTTGTAACAACACATATTAACTAGAGCACATGCTCTGTATTTGAAAAGTAAAAACTTGTTGCTTGTATTCTACCACATAGGCTATGATGTAATGCAAATTTTTCTCTCTGCAGTTTAAAGGATTTGATCCCAACATATTGTGTGTAGCTACCTTGCTCTTTGAGGGTGACAGAGAGAAGGTTCTTCAGCATGAAAAGCAAGTCTATGATATTGCCACCAAGTTTGGGTATGTTTTTCAGAGAACTTTTTCATATGAAGCTGGGAGCTAACTGTCCAGGAAAAAATAGGGTTACCTTATTTTTATAATGATTACGGTATGAATAGGTTCTCAATTTACTAGTTTGAAGTGGCAATAATCAATTAACTACTGAATGTTCCTTTTGATAAATATGGCTTGTGCTAACTCTTAATAGGTAACTTTACTGAAAAACTTCAACTGTCTGCCTATTGCAGAAAAATATGTATTTGACTAAATATAGAATTGATGCTATTAAAATGGAAACTAGCCCCGGTAATTGCTTATAGGCATGGAAGCTGCTTGTTTTGCAATACTAGATTCTCTATACTTTAACTACAGAACTGGAACACAAAATCATAAGGGTAATATTAAATCTTTACAGAATTGATGTAGACATATGAATACAAGGAGCTTGTTTAAAAGAGGAGATTGTGTTCCGATAGAATGCAGTGAATTTCTGTCCCACAGACTGTTTTCTGTTCTTATAAAGGAACACAAAACATTCACTGGAGTGGCAGACTGAGTAATCATCAGGTAGTCTCTGTCCAGCTTTGATTAAGCGTGATTGATGAAAACCATCATTGAAAGTGTGATTTGTCAGGAATATACTTTTTCCTTAAAGTTTTTGCTAGTATTAGCCTCAACTATTCAAATATACATAACTACCGTTTTATTGATTTCAAGGCTATATTCTTCTGAAATTTGTGTTTTCATTGTTCTACCACCTAAAAGTGATATTTTGTGTGAGCAGCTTGCTAACATTCAGTGATAAGAATAACATTGTTATTGATCTTAAAAAAGCATTTTAGTTATTTTAATGTTGTGCACAAGAAAAAGCTTCAGCTATGAATCCTTCTGTATTTTGGTATTTCAAGGTGGTGTATTGATAAGCGGGGAGTGGGGAAACTTTTGTGTTGGATCTGTTAGAAGATGGTCCTGTCTGTGCTGTTCAGTTAAGGCTATTAGTTAAGTTTTTAATAGTTTAACCTGGTCTAAAATGCTAAACTGTTTAGTGGTCTAAAATGTTTTAATTCTGTCCTTCAGGATGTCTTGATTTTCCCCCCCCCTCCCCCCCACATACACACCTTGGGATTTATAGGAGCTTCTAGGAAGGCTGATTACAGATACATAGCACTTTCTTGTTCCTAGAAAATGATAGTTAAAAACAAAGACTTTCGTAATGCTCCTAACATGATAGACTAGTGAAAGCCAGGCCTCCTTTTTCTTTTTAGTACTGTGTCTTTTTTTTATCCATTCACATCACTTACACTTTTGGAATCTTAAGGCAGTAGTCTTACTCTCATGATCTGTGAGCATACAAGTGCACAAATCAACACACTTAGAAATTCCTGTAAATGAGCATCAGGGATATACTATGTCTAGTTCTGTTTTCCCTGCTATTTTTTGAACTTTTAAGACTGTTATTTTAAAAGAACATTTGATATGATTTTATTGTTCATCTCTCTTCAGATTATGGAACGAAGAGAAATGCAAAGAGTTAATGGTCTGGTCTGAAGTAACTTTTCATTTCTAGTGAAGAAGGGAACCTACTATTTGCAGCTATTGCAACACTGCTAGGAGACAGCTAAACTTGCACATATGTTTGATAATCAAAGTATTAATTTTTAATTCTTTTTGGAAATTGGTGATTTATTTGCTGAAAAGCTAATTAAATTCTTGTTAATTGCAGTGGCTTGGCAGCAGGAGAAGATAATGGACAGAGAGGGTATATGCTGACATTTGTCATTGCTTACCTCCGGGTAGGTCACCCTTTGTCTGCCTGATGAATCTTCTGTTAATATAACAAAACGTAGAAATGTCTTTTTGAAGATGCTTTCTCTGAAAATGAAATGTGAGTTGTCTAGGATGATATCTGAAACTTCTTCCAGAGGGTGTATCTCTTCTATTTCTGACTAGTGTTTACTCATGGAACTACATCTGTAAAACACCATAAAAACATTAATTTATGTGCTTGTTAAGAAAATAGTTTCTAATACAGGGTAGAGAAAATTGGATTGAAGAATCCACTTAGCAGTTGCTAAATAAACCAGATCAGGCTTATAAATCTGCAGGTTGAATGTAATCAGAGGCCGGGAGGGTACTTGAAATACTCACGTGCTCACCTGGCTCTTACTCTTCTTTGGACATCTGCTTATGGCTGTGGTTCACATCAGAATTCCAGGACATATGGACCTTTAGTTGGAACTGTTGCAAGGTGTTCTTAGGAACTTTAGTCTTGCTGTTTGAGAGAGGTTGTTGGGTTTTCTCAGCATAGTATGCATGTCCTGAGTGCTAGATTTTATTTGGCTTTTATAGTCAGGGACAAATCACTGAATTTCCCTTTATTTCAGCAGTCTGTATGTAAAATGGGCAAAATGATTTTATTTATTCTATCTAGATAGGAATTGCATTCCAAATAAATATATGTACTGGGTATTATATTGGTTAGCACAGTGGGGCTTTTGGCTTGATGCTATAGTGAGATAAATATTTGATTAGCGTAGGCATACTGACAGTCTGATAAGTTGTCTCACTATAGCCGTGACATCAAAGTGTTTGAGGTGTCTTTGAAGAGCTACCATATTTCCAAAATTATAAACTAATGTCACTGGGACAGGTGGGTGTTTTTGCTAAATAGACTTTCTGGTTTTTCTCACGGAAACTTACTAAAATTGCTCAACGGTTAGCTGTGCAGCATACACTAGAATCCCAGATGTTGATGCTGAATGTTACTGATAATTTCCTTTCTCTATTTATTAGGACCTGGGCCTGGATTACTATGTAATAGGAGAATCATTTGAGACATCTGTTCCTTGGGATAGGTAAACTGTGATTATTCTTTAGAATCACTTAAAACTTGTACTTGATTTCATTCAAATTATTTCTACCGCATGCTTGCTCATGGGGAAACTTAATTTAATTTAGGCCTTATGCGTATTGGAGGCTCCCTGATGTGCCTCAAGTCTTGCACCTGTGTGTTCTTGCTAAAGTTGCTAGTAAATTATGTATCAGGATTTTGTAAATGCAATGTATGCAAGCATTCAGTAATATTTCTACTTAGGTTAGCTTACTGTAACAGATTCAGGACTTGAAATTGCCCAGTTCAGGAAGGTGGACAATAGTGATAACTGTATTGTGTGATGAGCAGCCACACATGTGGTATTAGCAATGTATTTCAAACAAAAGTTTGTAGTGAAGATCCAAAAAAATTATTTAAGTATATTTAACTAAGTTTTTTTCTTTCTCCAGTAATGCAGGGAAATGAAAACCAAAAGATAAATTTTGCCCAGAATTAAGATGTCTTTGCTAAGCTTGTTTTATCTGTTAGCTACGGTTGACAAACACATGACCACAACAGTTTATTAAATAATTTTGGATATTTCTGTCCATTTGGTAAGACAGAAACATCTTAAGCAGGATCTAAGGTGATTTGAATCAAAGCTTTACAGTAGTTAATGCAAAGTAGAAAGTGTGCAAAGTGTGACTTACTCTAGTGAGCCTGTATCCTTGGTACTGAATTTAGTGGCAGTGGTAAGTTCCAGCCTCTGCTTTGAAAATTGGTGTAGTATCTTAGAGGGGTGGTGGAAATTTTAGGACAATTTTAAAGAAAAATTGTTCTTTATTTTACTTTAGCTTTATAGATTTTTGAAGTGTGCTAACTGTTCAGTCACAGTTTTGCCTCTCCCTCATTTCAGGAGAGAATTAATTTTTTATCTAAGAATTTAAGAAAATACTTAAAATTATCCTCACAAAAGCAAATGCTTTAAGAAACCTTTTTCTACTTTGACTCACAAAAACTATGTAATTTTCCATAAATCAGTCAGTTACCTTGTTCCTGACAGGTTGAAGATAATTGGATTTAGCTCTACTTGCTTATTCATTGAATAGATAAATTTCTCTTCTGTATTACTTCCGTCAATCTGTAAAGTAGTTTTAAATCTGTGTAAAATGTGTTATTCTGAATAGTACAGTATAGCACTGCAGCCTTTGGACAACATATAACTGAAGAAATAGTCATTTGGAAAACAGTGATTTCTTTCAATTGTTCTAGTACTTTGGATGCACCTGGGTCTGCCCTAGAAGAAAAAAATAGTAAAAGCAATGGCTTATGACAAGGTTTAATAGCTCATTGCGATATTAGAACTGTAACATTTCAAGCTGACAAACTAGTGGGCAGCTGGAATATGTCCAGTTTTGGTCTTGCAACATATCAAAGGTATGGTATTAGCAGAGTATACAAGGCCTGAGAGTTCTCAAGCTTTCTAGAGCTGTATTTGTCAACTAATTTGCCAAGATTCTAGGCTGTTTTGCTGAGAAAAGTAAAGACACAGAGAAGTATGTAACCTTCGTTTTCTGTTGAACACTCTTGACTTCTATTCCATATGGAAAAGAGCTTTCACTATATACTCTGCTTCAGAGTAAACTTGCTATTCAACAATACAGAAAAAGCAATACTAGTGAAGTCTCGATGAGGACTGTTCTTAGAACAAAATCAAAGCTAGTTGAAACTGGTTCTAGAAGACAATCATCTGTTTGTTGTGGTTTGAGCCTACTCAGCAGCTAAATGCCACACAGTCGCTCACCCACCCTCCCCCCACTTGGGAACGGGGAAGGAATCGGAGGGGCAAAGGGAGACTCACGGGTTGAGATAAAAACAGTTTAATAACAGTAACAGAATAATACACTGACAGCAGTATCAACAGGTAATGTACAATACAGCTGCTCAACACCTGCTGACCAACACCCACCTGCTCCCAGCCAGCAATCCCAAACACAAAGGCCCCACAGCCACCCTCCCAGAAGTGGCAGCCTCTCCCAGCCCTCTCCTGCCTTTATATGGTGAGCATAATGTCACATGACATGGAATATCAGCCAATCCCGGCTCAGCCCTCCATCTGTGCTCCCCCCACCCCCACACACAGGTGAGGGCACTAGGACCTGGGGAGCCCCTGGGGTCTCAGTGTGCTGCAGCACTCCTCCAGCTACTAAAACAAACAGGAACACTATTCCAGCCCGAACCAGGACACTGTTTTATTAGATTATACTTTTTAAATAAGATTACAGATGCTAAAGTTGTGGTTTTTAGGAAGCTGTATAAAATGACACTAAGATTTTATATTTTAATGTTTTCTGTTACAGGGTTTTGGACCTTTGTAGGAATGTGAAGGAAAGGATAGTAAGAGAATGCAAAGAAAAGGGTGTTCAGTTTGCTCCTCTTTCCACCTGCAGGTAAGCCATGCAACAACCTAAATAATTTTTCTCAAGTCTTTGATTAGTAAGAGAATTAGAGAAGAGGTCATTAAACTTGCTGGCTAGTAGGTAAAGTGCATCTGTTAATGATATTGAAAACACTAATAATCTTGACCTTCCTCTTACCTGCAAGTGGATTACATGGAAGAATGGGTAATACCAATGGATTAGTAGTGCTTGATTAGTTTTGGCACTTATTCTTCTTATTCACAAGTCAAGTGTAATGACTTAAGAGCTTCAACTCTGTCATATCGTTGTGTCACTTATGAAGTATGAGCAAAAAGGATACAAAACTACTTCAAAAAAAGATGCTACCCTTTTAAATAAGTTGAGTAACCTAATGAGTTGTGTCATGTCACATAGTGGCTGGCTTAATACCATAAAGCTTTGTTTGTAATGCAGTTCTCTTCAACAGGGTGACACAGACTTATGATGCAGGTGCATGTGTGTACTTCTACTTTGCCTTTAACTACCGAGGAATTAGTGATCCTATTCATGTCTATGAACAAATTGAGGTAATGTATACAAGAAAAATAGCTAAGGGGGAGGGGGAGAAGCTGATGTCCTATAATATATGCTGAACCCATTAGCCAAGCTAACTGAATTTTGCAGGGAAGATCTCAAAAGTCTCTTCATAAAGCGTTGCTTATTAGCAGCTAGGGAAAAAGGTGCATACTAATAGTGCCTCAAGTACAGGAAAGACTACCAGGTGACTATTATAGACATTAGTAAATGAATACTTATGTAAAGTATTCATCAGTAGATGAATGGCTAAAGTATTCATCAGTAGATGAATGGCTAAAGTATTCATCAGTAGATGAATGGCTAAAGTATTCATCAGTAGATGAATGGCTAAAGTATAGGAAAGCTTGAACTGGAGATTGGATGACAGAAACTATCAAGCATAAAACCCAAATCCATGGGGAACAAGACTTCCTTAGTTCCATTAGTTACAAAGCTACCTCTTTCAGTTAATACTCAGTCTTTAAATTACATGTTAAGACTATTGAGATCATACTTTATTAATAGTGCTACATATAGAGAATAATGAATGTGAGGATCCCTCTCATGCTGTTTCAGAGAATTAACTGCTGTGGTTATTTCTGCTTGGGCCTAGATAAGCGCTGGTCAGTCTGCTGTGTTAGACCATTTGTAAGCTGCTTTGGCACTTACCAAAAAGCTCTGGAATAACTCTGCTTTAACACTTTGGCTGGTGAAACACTATAATTACCTAGTTAGGGGAAACTAATATTCTTGTTGTTTTGAAGATATAATACATAAAAGAACTATCGGCAAACTGCTTTTCATCCTACCTTTCATTTTATGTGCTCAAACTTAAGCACAAGAAAATTGCGAATAAGACTGTGGAGAAATAGGCTATATTTCTAACTAGGATATTATTTTCATGCTTATTCTTTAGAAATTTATGTTGAACTTTGCAAGCAGATACAAATCTTTATCTACAAGTTTTGAGGCTTCTGTGCTGTTGAATCTATGACTTTGGAGAATGTAATATTTGAGTGCTTATTCAATGAAACCTTATTAATACTTAGATACTACTGTTTATTAGAATTAGCTCGCAGTGTGATCATGTGGATCCATGTCTTCCATTTTGGGTGACTAAATTTAGCCTAACAAAGTGAGTTTTCCAACCAAGTATATGCACTCTGGCAGACTGAAAAGATATCTAACCACATATGTATGGTTATATACCTTATTCCCAAAAAAGTACACTTCTGAAAAAAGATGTAGTGCTTGTGCTTAGGAAACCTTCCTTTGTTACACCTTCTAAGCTGTCTAACTATTCTTAATCAGAGCTGGATGGAAAAGAAGATTCTAGGCCTTCAAAGTGTTCACATATTTCTAATATAAAAATCTAAATTTTGTTTTCTGCCACAAACTTCATCTATGAAAGGGTTGTCAGTTGTAAAATACCTCATTTCCTCAACCAGAATCTTGGAGATCTGGGTCTAAACTCTGGTCTGAATAAGGATCTTGAATCACTCTGGGGAGCTAGTTTTTCAAACCTCTTTATTGCAATTTCCTTTTCGGTAGGCACTTAACCATCTTCCAGATGAGCATCCCAGCTACTAGACTGTTTTAGTTTTGTCAAGGGGGAAGTGATCCATTCATTTCATTCAGGAATAATAGATTTGTTGTAACAGATGCTATTTGAAATGTCTTGGCTTTGATGAAGTTTATGTGGAAAATTCCCACTTATCTGCAGGCTTGAACTAAAATGTGTATCTGTATTGTGTACCCTAATTCTGACACTTTTCATACGCCTATGTAAATGAATACAATATCAAGCATTTCACTGAAGACAAAAATCTTGTGCGTTTGCTGTTGAATAAATACCTTATCTTCTCAATTCAGAGGGCTGCTAGAGAAGAAATACTTGCCAATGGAGGAAGTCTCTCACATCACCATGGAGGTAATGTTCTCAGTCTAATATTAGTCTCTGATACTGCTAAATATTTATGAGTACATAAAATAGCTTGTAATAGAACTTTGCAAGGTATTTCACAGGCATTAACTGAAATTACTCGGGGGGGGGGGGGGAAGAGAGGAGAGGATCTCCTGTCATTCTTTCTAGAAACTTCCCACTCCTTTGCCAGACTTTTAGGGGGAAGTGTCCCTGGACTTGGCTGGCTGGATATCAAGTCACACAATGTTAGTGTATTTATGAGCACCAGCTTCAAACCTTTGGATAGGAAGTATGCAGGCTGTCTGAGAACTTGAAAATGTAGTTGATCATTTGTCTTAAGCAACTTCAACTGAACCTTGTGCAGAGGTATATTCAGTTACAGAGACCTCAAATGGGAGTCCCTTGTGGCTAAGTGAATGCTGTTAGCCCTAATTCCAGAGCCCTTAGTGAAAGTATTTGCATAAAAGAGCTAGTAACTTAAACTGGGCTGTGTTGCAGTCTACCATTTGTTGTATAATTGATGTTATGTAAGTGTTGATATTACTGGCTTGCTGTCTGCTAACTTCTGATTATTCAGTTTCCTCTCTTGAAGTTTGGGAATGACTTGTCCTGAGTTAGTACTAGCCTCTTTGTACACTATTTTGTGCTTTTGTATTAGGTTTGAGAACCAGTGTCATGTATAAGTGATATTTCATATATCTGATGCTTTACATATGCTTTTCTCACATATTCAGATAGCCTAATTTGATTGCATGTATCCTATATAATGCAGTAAATTCAGATGTCAGGGAGGCTTGTTGTGAAGTCAGTTTGATTTGTGCAGCTAGCTGCTTGAATTTGCTTAACTTAATGCATTTCTTCTCTCTACTCTCTCGGGGCACTGTCTGGCCATAGAAATAAGAGCAAAGAGGAACTCTAATGGTTTAAAACTAGATATATTTTGTAATTCTAAAAGCTCTGCGTGGAGAAAACTGGAGGGCAGAAGCTGGTGAATTCTGGACTTGAAACTTTTCTCTTGGGTTGTTTTCAGGCATCTAGCTTTGTGATAGAAACTGAAACGGTCTCTGGTTTAGCAATATCAGGATATTGAAAGATGTGTACGTGATTATAACATGAGTGAAAAGATTTTCAGTATTTTTTTGTTTAATATGCTTATTGTCCTCTGATTAAATCTTTAATATGGTGGTATAGTCAATTCTTGCACATGGGATGGGGAATTACCCTCTTGATGTACTATTGTGCTCTCACCTGCTGTGGCAGCTGTATTTTACTGTGACTAGCATTTCATTCATTAACTTATATGCAGCTGGAGCTTGTCACATGTTTGGATGTATTTGCCTTCACCCTATGAAACCTTGTATACAGCATATGTTGAACAAGAGAAAAAAAATATGTAGCATTTTCAAACCCTTACACACTTGAACTTTCTGACTCCACAGATATGGAGAACTTGGTTTCTGTTAGACTACTTATGCTCCTGTTGTATATGTGACTGCCTCTTATACTGATAAATATTTTCTGGCGGTTCATTGTGTACTATAATCAAGATTCATTTTTTCCAGTACTTAGATGTGCTGCTGAGAATTAGCCTAATAGTATCAGTTTTATTTACTGACCTTTGGACCTTGTCACTCTTACCACTGCTAAAACTGGTCTATTGTGTGGAGTAAAAGAAAATACCGGTGCAATTTCTTTTAGTATTTGTCTTGTAATTGTGATTAATAGCAGTTGTTTTCACTATCTGGAAACAGACAGAATGGTTTGCCTGCCTACAATCACACTATGATAAATGGAGCTATTTTAACTCTGGTTTTGTGTATCAAAGAAAACAGATGTAGTCTGGGACTTGAGGCTATAGGAAATACAAAGCCTGCTTAAGTCAATCTTCATACACTCCTTGAGTGAAGAAGTGGTCAAATATGACAGTTTGAGATGTGTAAAGCTCTAAATTACTTTACATCCGGCAAAGTACTAACTGCAGGTAAACATATAGCTACAATCCACAGTGGGAACTGGAATAACGATACTTTCATGAACAGTAACTTATGAAAGGCTTTTATTCTGGATTCTATTTTAATCTCAATATCTCTTCTCTTCTCACATCCCTCCAGGCTAATGAAAAATATTGTAACTTTTAGGCAAGACTCACTAAAGGTAGGAATACTGTGAAAAGATCCCCTACTGATCAGTTTTAAGACTTAAAGCTTGTAAGAAGCATAACTTTTATTTGTTAATGGATTACATTAAAGATCACACCTTACAATATAGAAGAACAGCAACATTCCAACACAGAAATTGCAAAAGTGTATCAATACCAGCCTTGTATAGCAAGCATCTCACAGGCACAAGAAACTGTAGCAAAGCTAGACATACACATCTGTGTAATAAATTTATCCTTCCAATGTAACAATTACTTGCATTTTGGGGTAGAATGTCCGGATTTTTTTGGTTTTATAAATCTCGATACCACTTCTATGATACTGCAACTTAAATGACTGTTGTTTTAATCAAATTGTCTCTTTGAAGTCTTTCTTACTCTTGACTCTCAAATATTTAAATCTAATTGGTGTCAGGAATGGTTTTCCTGCTTAATATCAGTATTTAACACTTGATGATGTTGCTGGATTATGTAATGAAAATAATTTATGTTTAGGAAGAAACTGAGGCATATGTGTTGCTATAAAAATACACCAAAATACATAGTGGATACAGGTGGGTACTTAGACGGGGGAATTCAGCCATTCTCCAGTGCGTCAGAAATTGATCCTTATAGAGGAGGTTATCAGATTATTTTTTTATGATCCTGGCAGTCTTGTCTAAATGTTAGGTCTGTTTCTTGATAAATTTGCTGTGAACAAACTGCTGAAAAGCTTTTTAGTAGTTTTAAAGTAGTTTTAAATATGTGACTTTGAAGTGGTTTCTTATGCCTTTTTTTAACATAGCATTTTAATGCTATGACATAAGCTGTGACTTAGTAAAAGTTTGTGAAAAGTATTCAGGAATTAGATATCCTAGTTGTAGCATCCCTTGCCTTCACTTCCTATGTGAGATTTTACACATTGATTATAGCTTTCACTTGGCTTTGACAATGTCCTACGCTTAGAAGGGAATAGTGCACATTTTTGAACACACCTTCAATCCTGCTTTTCTGGCTACTGAGTCATGCAAGTAAGGGTTGATAGAGCCACAGTTAGCTTCTAGACACGGCATTTAAAAAGCAGCAGTAGGAATGACAATTTATTGTAGATATAAGTTTAAATTTAGATAAACAATTCTTCTAATCATTTAGGGCAAGCCCTAAAACCACCCATATGATGTCACACCTTGCATTCTTGAATTCCTGTTTAATAAAATATATGTTTTTTTTGTATACATAAAATAACGTGCTGAGGAAGTATCAATAGGTATGACAGGTGTGTAAATACAACTATAACCCCTTCGGGGTATAGCATCAGAAGGGAGCTGGCTGGATTTTGGCCTGATCCCTTCTGTATTACCAAGATAAGCACCCATGTAAAATTAAGGAACAGTGTAAAAATTAATGATAGATTGCTTCCCTTGCAGGAAATGTTTTAACTAAAACCGGTTACTTAAGGAAACAATTATCAGCTAGTGGGTTTGAGGAAAATACTCCCATTTAGCCACTTAACATAATAGAACTAATTTTTTCCATTTTCTAGACAGATTGACTAGAATAAAGGTTAACCAGGTAGCCCAGGCTCCACAGATTTAGGTATAGTATCAATTTCCTGGCAATTTATGTAGGAGAACAAAACAAACCAAAAAAACCCAACCCCCCAAAACAAACAACAACCCCCCCCCAAACCCAAACCAAACAAACTACCAAAACAAAACAAAAAAAAATCCCACACCACAAACACTACCCCACCCTACCCCTTCCCCCCCCCACCCCCCAAATCCCAAAACAAGAACGAACCATAAAATCTCCACACCTTATTTGTATTCACTTGCATGTTTGACATTGCAGTTCATTGCAACTGTTTGGCATCATTAAGAGGCTGTAGCTTAAGCAATATGTGCAGTAATTAACCCACACAAACTACAAAATCTGGAATTATAAAATTCCCTTATGGGGGAAATTGAACACATTTTCTCTTCTACACAGGAAAAGTGTCTTAGCTTTAAGTCAAGCACTGGAGACTGATCATACTTTCATTTTAAAACTAGAGCTTGCTTAAGCTGTGACGTTTGTCTTACACAGAGTAACCTTATGTGAAATAAAATAATGCAGTTGTATTTTCCTTCTTGGTCTGTTGAAAGTTGTAATACAATAGTCATCTTCAGTGCCTTTTCCACCAAATAAATGCAAAGGACTTTGATTCCTCAACATGGAACTTGAAAGTACTTAAGTTGCTTAGATATCAAGTGAAAATGTGCAAGATGCTACGATGATGGTAAGTGTTCATTATGTAGTAGACTTCAGGTACATTGGTCCAATATACTCCAGAGCTACCACAGTGTTAGGCTAACGCACTGACCTTTCAGTATTGCAGAGCTCTCTCTGGAAGAGTAATGACCTGTTAAGCAATTCCGAAGAGCTGAGAGATGCTTTCTGTAGAGATAACCAGCTTCAGGAAGAGCATGCAATATCTGGAAGAGTCCCATCCCTCTTACGGCCTGTTAAGCCTTTTTATGACCTGTTACGACTTGTGCTTTTGCAAAGCTATTGTTCTGCAACAACTATCTCTAAGTTAAAAGGGCTGGAGTAGAGGAAGTCTAAAGCCATGTACAGTGCCACTAGAGCCTATTTCCACCAGGACCGTGCATTGCTATAAATCTGTTCTGCATGGGTGTAGTTATTCCTGGGATCCATCAGCTATATTAAAACTTCCCTTACAAGACTGTTCATGTGTGCCCAAGTACTTTATATTCCAAAAGTGAGAAGACCAATTGCTGCCTGCTGTTTGCTAGCTCCATCTTTAGCAGCTAGATTTTTTTGCAGCCATCCAGATTATTTATGAGCCAGGAGAGATGTACTCCTGTTTTATCTTCTTTGTGGCCAGCAGATAGGTGCTATCCATCTAATGCACTTCTCTTTGAAAAACTATGCACATGGGAAACTGTTGTCACTTTTGGCAAAGAATGTAATGTTGGTGCATGTTTGCTTGGTTTTTTCAAAGGATGGGTTCTGCAGGAGCAGCATAGAGTGTGGTTGCACTTCAACAGAGTGTATTTTACTCCCTAACAGGTTAAAGGGCACTGGAAACATGAACAACTTTTCTAATGAAACCAGCTAAGGGCTTGACCAGCACATATTGGAACTGGGAAAAAGTCACTTAGCTAGCTCACAGGTTTTTCATACATGGACTGTAATAATGATAAAACTTGAAAATACTGCAAAAATAAAATTGGTGTTGGACTGTCTTTGAGAATTGCTACTGAGCAAGCTTCTTGGCTTCATGGTCTGAAGTATGTTAAGTGAGGTAGGCTCTCTGCCATGCTAGGATGTTTGTATTCTGTGTAATCGGCTGGGCTTCAGATTGAAGACTTCTGGCTTCCTAGTAATGAATGTTTTAAGGCATTAGACTGCTCAGCACACCTCAGAAACAGGGCATTTGCCACTTGTAAAACTTGAGAACTAATGCTGTTGTATGTCATCTTGGATAATTAAAATGCAAGATTGGGTGTTTTCAGAGGATCTCATTTTTTTAATTAAGAAAAGTATAGCAGGCTGAGGGCCTGTAGGAGGTAGATGCTTAGATAAAAATCTGGTTCTGTGCACTGTCTTACGTCAGTTTTAGATAAATGGTATCACCTAGGCCTAAAACTAAGAGGTCTACTTTATCTAGGCTATGAATGGAAAGGTGGTTTTCTCTAGTCCATGTTAAGATCAGACTTAATTGATACCTTTTCTTGTTAGGGAAGTTAAGGCTTCATTGAGCCCAAAGCTGTTCTTTGGCTAAGGCTTAGAGTGGAGTTAAGCAACTTTGCCACCTTTTACCATGAACATAAAAATAATTACATCTAACTACCATGGCATTTTCTTCATTTTCCCTTCTCATCCTTGAAGCTAATTAGATCGATCGTCCTACGGAAGAGGAACAGAGTACTTACAGGGCAGCACTAACCTGAAGTGGAACAAATGTAAACATTGCTTTTCTAAGTGGTGCTCTCATCTGCACAGAGCCTTTCCTTCACTTGGTCTATTTTCTATTTAATCAGCTGGACCGGCTTAGAATTCTAAGTGCACTGATTGCTTCGACACTTTTTAATATGAAAACTTGAGTAGCTGAAGAATCCACGTATATCTTATTGACATGAACAGTAGGAGCAGGGGTTCAACCTACTGTTATCAAGGGGTTAAAATCTTTTCACTGAACATGTTTGTGAAGGACTGCTGGTAACTGTAGTACAGCTTTTTCTTTCCAGTTCACTAATCAAATGTATGTTAGATTTATTATTGCAAAAGTATAAACCATAGAAAATTTGACAAGATAGATGTGTAAATTATCACTTTGACAGAACTAATGATGCACTCCAAGCACCTTCTGTTTTCCAGCACTTGGTGAGCAACTTCATTAAATATGCAACGACTGTTTGGTGCTGCTCAGACAGTAGTTCAGTTCCTTGTGGAATTGCATTATTACTGGAGGTGTAAGAGGCAGGCATGCTAGCTGTTGGGCATCCTGCTGTGATTCTAATGTGCTCCATCTTGTTGAAGCAGTTGTTTGCAGTCTTTTCAGGACAATTACATCCATAACCACAGGACACATTCACTGAAACTATATTACAGATAACAGTTGAGAATGGTAATGACTGTTCTTCAGCTGCTTGTGTAAGAGCCAGTGTTGAGTGACTTGAGGTGATGGTCAAGCCACATCCGTGATTATTTTTTTGTAGCAGTAGTATTAAGGTTTCCCCAGATAAAATTCCAACTACATCAGCTTGCTCACAATCGAACTGTAGTGATGGCATATTTACAGATGGGGATATTTTTTTACTTGAGCTGGGTTGCAAAATATAACCACGGTTCCTACCACATGACAAATTCTTTTGTCCTTCAGTCATGTTCTTCGCTCTTGATACACGTACTGCTAATAGTTGTTTTCTATCAAACTGCAAATTTAATTCTTTCTCATATTACTTGCTTTTTCAGTAGGCATTGTGACTAGCTCCTATTCCTTAAGGTATAAACAAATATACTCTGTTCTCCAGAGGTGTCCCTGTAATTTATTATTCTGATGGCAGTTTGATGGTTACCCTGAGAATGGGGCACAAAAGATGGCTTGAATTTAGCTTCAGCTACTCTTAAAGCATCTGTCTCTCAAACCTTTACTATATCACATCATACTGACAAATGGATTGTGTTTCAGGATGACAAGTTAAATGCTGTAGTGTGTTTAATGAAAAAATGTCCTTTATTTTGAACAATCTGTTAAATCAGAGTTGATGACTTGGTTAATTAGTATGTGAACACTCGGCGATTTAACAGGACTATTGTGAGACTTTAGTGAAATGAGTTCTTAAATGGCTGCTGTTTCAGCTTTGCTTTGTATTTGGTATATGTTGTGAATATCTATTTTTATATGGGAAACTAAGCTCTTATGTAATGGTATGAGCAATTGCCAGCCTGTGTAAAAGTTCTTGAGTGAAATAAGGTATTATGTTAATTTAAAACTAGGATTTAGGCCTTCTTAGAAAACAATTTTTTGCTATTTAAACCAATACTCTTTTAAGTACGTTTTATGTTTTCACTTCAAAGCAATGAAGAGGTGTGGGGTTCTGCTTTTTAGTGCTTTTTAGTAATCTTTACAGTTTCCTACTTAAAATTAGTTTGGTGGCTTTTTAAAACTTACTACCAATTTCCCTATTTTAATAGAACATGTGATTTCAGCGTAAGCTTCATCTAAATTTCATAGTTTCTAAAGAAAGTAGACAGTGTGGAACACAGTCTTCCTCTGGGAGTATGCTGAGCTTAATGAGCTTGATAGTCTGGTGGGCTCAATAAATCAAATAAAGCAAAACATTTCTCATTTTTGAATAAAAGCATTTATCACACAGTGTTTATTCATTCATGGTTACAAGATTGATTGGCTCCTAGAATCCTGCCATATATTGAAACACTTTGTTTTTGTTTTTCCAGTAGGCAAATTGCGGAAGCGCTGGATGAAGGAGAGCATCTCTGATGTTGGTCTGGGAATGCTGAGATCTGTTAAAGAATATGTGGACCCCAATAACATCTTTGGAAACAAAAATCTTTTATAAAGCCCTGCGCAACATGATGTACTAAATCTTCTTCAATATTACTGTTGAAATTCCTCCACTTTCATTGTATTGATATCCCAGTAATCAAATATAACCTAGACGAAACTTTAAAAACTAGTAACTTACACTGATTTTTGCCACCCCCTTCCCTCTTCCCCCAATAAAGTGTAAACATCACTGTTAATGTTTATGGATTTTTACTTACAATGCTCCTAAACTCTTAATCCACTGGGCACAAAGTGTATTACCAACCAGGAAATGCAAATTTGGTTTTCCAAGTTTGGTTAGGCAACACAGCTGGCAGTATTTTCAGTGCTGGATACTGCCAGATGTTTCTTACTAAAGCATCCCCTGCGAGGAGAACAAAGACTGACAACAGTGTTTTCTACAGAAGCAGCTGCTCAACCCAGCCTCTTGCTAAAGGAAAGCTGCTAAGAGACAGATGAGAGAACATCAAGGAGTACTTCACTGTACTGAAGGATTAAGTATGTTACAGACGTGTAACCAGCAAATACTTGAAGTACAAATGTAGGCTTTGATCAAAAGAGAATGTAAGTCAAACTACTTCTAAAAACTCACTAGTATCCCACAGTAGTACTACTGGAAAATCTTACACAATTGAGCTGAGTTGTATTTGCATTGCTGGGATAATCTTAATTGTAGGTCAGTCACTATAAGTTTTGTACAATGGACATTTCTCACTGTATGTTGAAAACACGTTTGTAACAAAACTTTGCGTTCATCTGTACTTCAGTCCTAGTGTGTATGGTTTTTTGCTACTGTTTTGTTTGTTTTGCAGAGATGCAAAATATCTTTTTCAGTAAAAAAAAAAGTTTTGGCTATTCAAATGAAACTGCCCAGCACTGTTTTTTGAAACAGTCTCAACGGTTTAATAAAACACTTAAATGGACAACATACTGTCATCCTGAAAGTGAGATTTCCCATTTTAGTTTTGTACAGTTTCCTATGGCCTTTATGAATCATTTATTGATTTCACTAGTAGCCACAATTTTAATTGTCCATTTAACTTTAAGAAAACGAAATATTTTCTTGATGAGTATCATATGAGAGTAAGCATTTTTACACTGAAACTTGAATCTTAATCAGTAAAACAAACTAAAAGTATTTGTCAATACTCATGATCCATTTTTAAGGTGGGTTCTTTTCTTAAAGCAAATTATCCAACTTTTTGATAGTTAATGTATATGACTGCATAGGATAGAAAAAATACAGACTATCCTTTGAGGACACTGTCTCTCTAGCCAACTGCTTCACAGCTTTAGTGTCAGTTTGGACACCTTTTGTATTGGTAGTGCCCTTAATGAGGAGAAAAAGAAAAAAATTGCATTTTTGTTTTTAAACTATTTTAGAATACAGTCTAATTAGTTCTCAGTTTTGGTAATATACCAAAAACAGTATAAAATGCTTGAAAAAATACTGCATATCAGATGGCTTTGAACTTGTTTAAAGATTAATTTAAATTCTCAAATGATCAAAAAACATGGTCACTCAAAACATCACATGAAAATACATGCTGTCAAGGTACGTAGGGAGAACTTTTTATGGTCTGCAGTTCCTAAAACAATGTTAATGTGATATTTGCAATGCAGCTAGATTTATTTTGAATAGTCTTTGTTTCACAACATTTAAGGATAAAAATCAACTCGTATTTTTGTTTCTAGCCCCAAGAGTTCATATTTCAGGAGCAACCAAAACGACAGGTGTAGTACGTTTTAGGAAATGGAGTCTTTGCACTGTGGTTAAATGTTCCTTAAGTACACAATGGTGTCTCAGCAAAGTGAATGTGGACATGTTTATGCAGGGGCATCCCTCATCCTGCATGCTGCATGATGGTGACTACGTGGCTACAGCTGGCATCTTGCTGATGACTTGTACTGCTGAAATAGGAGACCTTTCTAGGAGTTGGTAAATATGAAGGGTGTTGATGTGCCTCAATTAAAGTATATATCTAACTATGAAGAATCAATTTTAAAGGAAAGTACATGAAGCCTTTTTGCAAAATGACAGCGCAAACTAAAACAAGTAGTCGTAGCTCAGTAATACCTGTCTCTTAAGATTTTGACTTAAACTACAACACAGCTCTATATGTTCTTTCCCACTTCTTAATTTTCTGACTATGGTTTCCTCATCCCTTTTTTGTATTTAAATTACACGGGCAAAACCTCCTTATATGCCCTTTCTAACCTTTAAATAGCCACTGCCTTCCAAAGTGATTTAAAATACAGTGAAGATTTTTACTGCGTGTCAGTTGTCTTATGGGAAGGTGAAATAACAGGCTATAAGGGTCCCAAAGCAATGTCACTGGATAGCTCTGAGGAACAGATTAACTATAAAGGTAATGGATATTTTTTTTCTAATGGTCACCTTACTGCTGTCTTCCTAAATATTTTTCTATCCTATGAACTGGTCAGAACTAAGTGAAACTGCAGTTGAAATGCATGTATTGCTGACTCTTTAATTTCACATTTAAATTTCTAATGACAATAGTGAAACATGTAATGCAAGTTCAGACCTAGAAACACACAGATCGTTACCCAATTAAAAGAAATCTTCCCTTCTCTGATACTAAAGTCTTCCACCACTCTTCCTTTTTGTGTACTCTTGCTTTCTAAATACCTCTTTTCCCATAGCTGCAGCCTGTTCAGAGATGGAGCTTGATCTGCACAGATCAGAAGTATCTTGGCATAACATGTTACTTCTTCATTTGCTTGGCTATTTTGGCCATATGTAAGTTACAAGCAGTTTTAATTAAGCTCATCATGACTTCCAGTTACACAGCTTCTCTCTTTGAAGGAGGAAAGGTATAGACTGAGTATGGCTTGACTGAAATGTATTTACATTAGAAACACTTTTATAAAAGTTTTGAGGGGAAAGAAGAAAAAATGTTAGAAATTGATCCAGGGTCTAAATCTTACACTTAAAGAAAAAAGTGTCTCTTCTTGACTTGACTTACAGTATATTGGTTGCATTAGAGATATCATCTTTGCCTTACAGCTGTGAACAGAGGCCAGGCCAAATAGTTCTTCCATAGCAATGTTAATTAACTGAAACCAATTTCAAAGGCAGGGATATGTTAGCACTGAAATCCAGAAAACACAAATTGCTTCTCAATCTTGGAAATGTATGTTTATCAAGGTTGTAATTTAACTTTCTGCAAATAAAGCCAAACAGTGTTTGTCATTTTAGTGTGAGATTTAACTGTAAAACTTAAGTTGTAATGTTAAGAGATTATAGAACCTTATATTATTAATAAAAAGAAAATGGGCCTAAACAATTATGTGGTTTTGTGCTGAAACTAAACAAATATATTCTACTAATTTGTCATCTTTTGTTCTTTTTCATTCAGCAGTGATATCTTGCCTGAGGAAAGCTATTAAGAAAGCTTTGACATTTGCAGAGAGAAATGAGATTGAATTTGTAAATGCGTGCTAATAGAAGCTCAGCTTTTGTGTCCCATGTAAAGCAAAATAGGAAAATGAGACAATTTGGTGAAGGAAGGGCAAAGCACCACCTGAACAACAGTCTACTCAGTTCAGAGATTTCACCTCTTCAGTATTCCCTGTTTGGGCAGCAGGGGGACTATGTTCAACTGCTCTCAGGAAGTTCTCTCAATATAATACGGGAGCATACCTTGTGTTACTCAGCTTCCCCATATTTCAAAGGTCTGTTGTATTAAGCTGTTGCAACAGGTATATAGTTTCCTGCTGTTGTGCACATGTCTCATTTAAAACCTCCTTGTTACAGGTCCTGGAATTTGCTTGGAAATTCTGTGTGCACAGATGCATCGCGTGTGAGTGTAAGAGGTATTTCTCTGTTATCTGTATCATTGCTATAAAGCTTATGCTCTTTAAACTAAAATGGCTGAAATCACATGTTGCTTGAAAGAGCTGTTGAATTGTGTTAACACAGTTTCTTCAACGCATGTTATTCCAACTGCAAAAGTCACAGTACACAGGGAACAGGAGAACACTAATGACATGGTTCGATTTGTAGAAGTATAACAGTTTCTCAAGATGATACAATTTTTTGTGTGTGCTTGTTCACAGGAAGGAGAAAACTACCCAGCAATCAAGCATTTTATTTGTTTCCCTTCTATTAACAGCATAAAAATGTGGTGTTTTTACATAGATCTAGATAGTCTCAGTTTGAAAGATCTTGGATGATATACTTGTCTCAGGATGACAGCTAGATCCCACCAGTGTTCTCTTTGTTTAAAATAAGTTTTACAAGAAGCTGGATGTGAACTCACAGCTGTGTAAATACTATAGGCTCACTGTTTATGGTTTTGTAGTCCCAACACTGACTCTGAATTTCACATTACTTTTAACATAAATTGATGTCTTTCCTTAGACTCCTTATGGAGACTAGAATTGGCAGGTGGTTGCTTTGTTAATGTTCAGCTTTAACGTGTGCTGTGGTGCTCAAGAGCAGAGATGGTCAAAGGTATTTTTCAAAAATGTTTGCCATACTGTCTTTGAAAAATACTAGTGCTGTCAGTTTGAAATTCAAAATTCAGTTTCAAAAATATGTGGGTTATAATATTTTAAATCATATTGATCATATTGTTACTTGCAATATTTACCAATACAAGTTGCAATAGTATGTACCTCTACTGAAATGCTGTGAAATATTTCATTTATGAATTTGGTTTTGCACTTTGGAAAAACAAAGCATTGAACTTTTTATGGGAAACTTTATGAATGTTTCATTTTGATTCAGAATAAAGCTAAATTTGTTTCAATTGACTGTTCAGAAATTCCAGTATAGCTTTCCTATTTGAGCAGTATTCAACCTATTTCTACCTTCATGGTAGTATGTAGTAGCCTCACAGACCCATATGGGGACATAACAGCTTTTAAATTAATGCATTTTTTTGTAGTACTATAAAGTATTTTAGCAGCCTTCTAAAGGGTAAAACTGAAGTATTGATCACAGCAAAGAAGTTATGTGCATGCAAAAAGATGCTGGACAAAACCAGATGATGTGACTGTGACCATGTAAAGTTTAAGCTGACGCTTCTAGAACTTAATATCAAATTAAGAAATAAGTGAAAAATGTTTTTGTTTAAAAATCACATTTTAAAATTAAACTATATTTTCTAATTATGGATGATTGTCACAACTTCACAGTTCAATATTACATGGCTTGTCCTAGTG